GCCATGCTCCCCATTCACCCAACATCCACATCTTCAGACACACAGAGACTGAGGCAGAGACTGGAGACAAACATGGTTGCAGATGGGGTGTATGACTATCTGTTCACAGTATCATCATTTAAAGTAAAGCCAAGAGAATCTAACCAGATAATGTAGTACGTTTTTATTGGGTGTTACGGTTAAAGGAGAACACAAAGTGAATACTGATACAACACCTTGAGTAAATCAGTCTTTAACTTCCTTGCACCCTATGTTTGGAATAATCTCCAAAATACGTTTCAATTGGATGCTTTGGTGTCCCTAGGGCAATTTAGACAGCTGACAGAGGATTATTATCTCCCGAGTGGCGCAGTGGTCTAAGGCACTGCATCGCAGTGCTAGCTGTGCCACTTAAGATCCTGGTTCAAATCCAGGCTCTGTCGTAGCTGGCCGCGACTGGGAGACCCATGGGGCGGCGCACAATTGGCCCAGGGGATGTAATGGCCGGCAGGGATGTAGCGCAGTTGGTAGAGCATGGTGTTTGCAACGCCAGGGTTGTGAGTTCGAATCCCACGGGGGGCCAGTATAAAAAAATAATGTATGCACTCACTAACTGTAAGTCACTCTGGATAAGACTGTCTGCTAAAGGACTATAATGAAGAATGTGTTTGTTTTCTATGCTTGCCTATTGATGTTAGTTTTTGTATTGTGCAGGGCTCATTTGCAAGAGACTTTAGTCTCAATATGACTTTCCTGTTGAAATAAAGGTAAATAATTAAACACTATTCTAAAGATAAGAATTTCTACATGAAGACACCTTCAAATATCGAACAGTATACGTGTTGAAATGAATTCTCAGTGTGTGCATTTTGTTCTCCTTGCCATAAGAGCTGAGAGGAACAGTCTTTAATAATTACGTAATTTGCATACATAGCTATACAAATCGTGAATGCATATTTCCCATAAATCATTAGAAAAAGGAAGAGACATGAGCAGTAACATCATTTCACATGAGCTTTATGTTCCCAGTATGTTTGATGCCCCTTCCCCTATATCAGAAGTAGACTACCCCCGTCTCACCCCCCTTTCCTCTCCTCCCTCACATGCCCAGACTGTGATTGATGTGGAAGGATGCTGAAGGACAACCTGCCTGTGTTCCAGGGGCGAGCTCAGAGACCCAGGCCTCTGGGGGAGTGAACCCAGGCTCAGTGAGCCCTCCTGGGGGTAGACGCCGCAGGCTAGCCCCAGGCTTGGGCCAGGGCCTAACAAAGGCAACACACTGGGCCAAGGACATCCAGTCATACAACCAGTCAGACACATAGAATACAGTATAATGGCTATAGGTAATACTCACTTTATAAAGTATGCAAAACCTTTTAACAGAGATGACATTAGTATGTAGTATGATTTATATAGGAGAGTCCCAGTGTGTATTCTGTGTCTGAATAATGAGAGCTCATTGTGAGCATAGCGACATGTGGCAGAGACTATATCGAGAGGAAACAGAGCTTTTCTCAGGTATATTGTTTGAGTCAAAGCAGTGCAACACATAAGATAAGACATCCCCCAGACATACGAGATGGTTTCTCCTAAAATAGAGAGGCTTTAGTGGCTGAATGGTGGAGTGAAGGGGGAGATGTTCTCAGGATACGGGAGAAAGAAAATGTCTAGACAGTGAGAACGTTCAGTGGCTGCATCCATACAGCCGCCAAATATTTCAGGCAGGTAAAAACCACAGTACAACACCCACATTTTTTTCACCTCTTCTGTTAGTAAATTTTTTTAATTGCTAAATAAAAAAATGATGACCAACAACTTCCAAATTCTACAGCTCATCATCTGTGCACCGTCTGGCTGGTAGTCTCGCCTCGCTGGGGTTAAAACGCCGTAATGATGCTATACCATGTTCCAACGCCTCATTCCCACTCCCTCGTTCCAATGTCAATGAGATGCAAATGGGGGTGCGTCACATTCAATAGTTGGGTGAGTCATGTGACCTAAAGGTCTAAGGTCAGAGGGCGCCAGGAGGCCCAGTGTCACAGATGAGGACTCACCCCGTTGGGTTTCAAAGAGTCGCTCCTTTGCATATGGAATCGCCCAATAGCATTATAGCATTGTTTACAATCTAACATATACCGCACTTACCAGGCAAGTGATCATCGGAATCACAATAGTTTCAGTCACTGAAAATCTAAACCCATTGATCGATCAAATAAAAATGAAAATCACCTCATAGGCAGGTGCACATTTAGACAGATGGGTTTGTATATACAGGCAACTGCTAAAATAATTGAAACACTTGAGTAAATGAGAGTTACAATGTTTATTGAAAGCAGGTGCTTCCACACAGATGTGGTTCCTGAGTTAATTAAGCAATTAACATCCCATCATGCTTAGGGTTATGTATAAAAATGCAGCGCAGGCTCCCATGGCTATGCCCCCATAGGATGACAATAACCCCATCCAAAGAGCACGAGTGGTCACTGAATGGTTTGATGAGCATGAAAACGATGTAAACCATATGCCATGGCCGTCTCAGTCACCAGGTCTCAACCCAATTGAACACTTATGGGAGATTCTGGAGCGTTTTCCACCACCAACAAAACACCAAATGATTGAATTTCTAGTGGAAGAATGGTGTTGCATCCCTCCAATAGAGTTCCAGACAGTTGTAGAATCTACGCCAAGGTGATTGAAGCTGTTCTGGCTCATTGTGTCCCAACGCCCTATTGTTGGTGTTTCCTTTATTTTGCCAGTTATCTGCATCTCCAAATTATTTAAATTGTTTTAAAAAATACCCTATTGTTTTGGATGCCTACATGAAAGATTTGGATTCTTGATGCAAGACAGAAAGAAATAACACAAAACTGCCCAGAGATTCAATTCAATGGGAAATCAGGAGCTAGTAACACTAGTAGTACTAGGACGGACAGACTGCCCCAGAATGAGCAGTTCATTCAACATGAGCTGAAGCCATAGTAAGAACACATGGAAAGGCCACCTCCTATCCACACAACCACAACCCTATAGCTAATCATCATGGGTGCCAATAATATCTCCTTTCACCTGAAGTGTACACTCGTTTACTATTTCCCACAAACCTAAAAGCATTGGATTAGAGGAGGCATGGGCTAGATAATATAATCTTTCGTATACCAGTCATTTCCTTTCAAATCAGGGAAGGGAAGTGAACAAGCGCACACTTTAGAAGGATAGATAATTGGGACATAGGCCTTGTCTCGCTTTACACCATGCCCTCCTAGATCTGGCATCCATGTCTTAAATACTGGTATATACTGTATATTGGATTACATATCATTGTATTACATAATGATGATTGAGTTGATACATGTCAATATTGTTGTACACACATTTGCAGAAGCCAGAGTAATGCGAATCACATACTACATTATATCATATATATATATTTTTTATAATCTGTAAAATAAGATTTTTTTTTCTCTCTCTCTCTCAAAAGCAAATACTTCATCATCATACAGATATAAAGAGTTGCAAAATGTCCAACATTGCAAAATGGCTGCTTGAACAGGAGAACATTTGAAGAAGCGATTTGTATCATGCTCGTTTTTCTTTTGTTTCATTTTCTCTTCCTTCCTCTGGAAGAAGAATCAGCATTTTGCAGGTCACTCGGCAAGCACTCTCCATCTCTCTTGGCCTTTTCTTCCAAAACAACAAGGACGCAACTCTATAAATGTAGTTATAGTTCACAAGGCCACTAGTCTGACTGACTTCTTCAAATCCATAATTTCTATGATTCTTCCTTCTGGCTAAACCTTCCCTCTCTAGTCAACGAACCCCTCAAACCTATTGAGGCTTTTTAATGCTAGTATTTATCCATACCACAGTTTAAAATCTTCTATTTTTTTTTTTTTGACTTTTAAAACAAGTAATCGCCTTAAAACAGTGCAAAACAAATCAAACCTGTGCAATACATCTACCCTAAAATATTCCATTATCATACATATCTACACGATTTAAAAGACATCACAATAATAATAGTAACAATAATATAATAGAATATTACTGATAACAAAGGTAACAAAAGCATGGACAGAGGAAATTAAACCCCTCTGAAAATGATAATGACAACAAAAGCCACAATAAAGCAGTCCCTAGCCCCACTGGCCCCCAGGACAAACCCACTGCCCCCTTCTGTCAGCGGCCTGGCTGGGATAGGGTTAGCCTGAGTTGGAGGATGGGTTGGCCTTGGCTGGGGCTGGAGTGTATGTGGGACTGGGAGTGTGTCTTGCAGCCAGCCCACTGAGGCGCCAGAAGCCATCTGCTACCCAGCCAGCGATCCAGAGTGCGCCAGCCAGTGTCCCAGTGTCCCAGTGTCTCAGCCACACAAAGCGCCTCTGGGGGAGAGGGAGGACAAAGGCAGGCCTGACTGGAACCTAGCCCTGCAGTCTGGCCATTTGACCTCCCCAGTCAGCCACAGAGGCCCTGGGGTGGAAGGGTCTGGAACAGAGAGGAGGAGGAGGAGGGGAGATAGAGAAAGGAGAAAAACATAGAAAGGAGGAAGGGTGGTTGGCACACGAACACAAAAGAGAGAAAGAAATCTCCCTGGACCCCCTGCTTCTTCTCTTTTTAACCTCTGAGGAGACTCTCTGTTCACCAAGGACAGGCGGCTGCTGCTCCAACCCTCTCCTCTCCCCCCCCAACATCATGCCGTCTCTTTGTCCTCCACCCATCTCAATGACCAGGCAAGCCCCCACAGTCAACTGTGTGCAGGCAGCATGGCCAGTGGCCAGTCTCTTCTGTCTGTGTCCGTGGTGTAGTGTTTGTCTTGTTTTTGCATGGATTTCAGGTCTGTCTGTATGTCTTGTCAGTCCCAGTCCCATCTCCTTAAACCCATTTGCAGTCTGGTATGGGGCCACTCAATTATGTTCTGCGACCCTGTACGGTCCCATGTCCAGTCCCACCCCATGCATCCCAGCCATCAACCCATCTCAGGCCTCCATGTGTCTGACCTGTGGGCCAGGCGGCCTGGGCCTGGGGGGCTAGGCAGTGGTGAGCTTCTGAATGGTCCTGTTGTAGTACTGTGTGGTGAGGGCCTCCAGAGGGGTCCAGTGGTTGGCGTGCAGCTCGATCACCTCCATGAGCAGGGAGCGAGTCAGCTGGGACTCGGCCGGACACAGCATCTTGTCCCTGGCCGCAGCCAGGAGCTCTGTCATCATCTCTGGAAGCTGCTCCTCCAGGAGACGACCTGTAGACTGCAGCTGGAGGAGGAGGAGAGGGAGAGGAAAAGATGAGAGGTGACTTGGCGTTGGAGTCGGGGGTTACGTCTAGCTGTCTGAACATTAAGAAGGATATTCTGAGAGACGGGTCGTGGCTGGCTGACTAAAGAGTGGGGGTGTTTGTCTGAGTTGTGGCATGCAGAGGGCAGGCTCATTAACAGATGTTAGAAGGATGGAGGATGGAGTCCCATTATAGGAACCTTGGCCTGTCTGTCTGGTCTGTCTGTCTGATATTCCCAATTTCCCATACAATTCAAGGTGAAAATTCTAGCAATTACTGACTAGGTCCACTATAGCTATGGCAGTCTTTTTAAAGCTGGCTTGACAGCTGAGCTCACCTTCCCTGCCCTATCGCTCTCTTTCTCCCCCTTGAACAGAGCTCTTACCCAGCCCTCCTCTCTCCAGCCCAGCTCCAGGCTCTAGTCTACGATTCAGGGAGTTTTAGACTCTGTTCTCAGCCTCTACACTACCTCTATAATTCTTGATGAGACAGAATATTCTTTCAATACATCCAGACAGAGAAAACGGCCTCACTACAGACACTCCTACTATGGCTTGGCTTATATGTGCATTGAAAACAAATCTACCACACATACCATAACCATTCATTATTCATAAGTGACTGTGTGCAGCTGTAGGAGGCATCAGCAAATATGAAGGATCGTATTGACATTCAGTAGTATTTTAAAGTAAAGTAGAGTACATACCTCCATAGAATAACAGAGGACTGCATCCTCCTTCACCTCTGGAGACTCCAGCAGCTTCAACAGCAACAGACAGACAGACAGACAGACAGGAACAGAAGAGATCAGAGATGATGAGAGGTTGGCTCTATAGAGATGATGCTTTATTCATGGCATCATATCCTCATTATTTTCTATATATGGCTGGCTCAAAGTAACACAGCTCCACAGAGAGCGAGACAGAAGGACATACATTGAGTATACCAAATATTAGGAACACCTTCCTAATATTGAGTAATATTCGTCGGGCAGGGACTCTACAAGGTGTTGAAAGTGTTCCACAGGGATGCTGGCCCATGTTGACGATAATGCTTCTCAAAGTTGTGTCAAGTTGGCTGGATGTCCTTTGGGTGGTGGACCATTCTTGATACACACGGGAAACTGTTGAGTGTAAAAAAAAACAGCAGCATTGCAGTTCTTGACACAAACCGGTGTGCCTGGCACCTACTACCATACCCCGTTCAAAGGCACTTAAATATTTTGTCTTGCCCATTCATCCTCTGAATGGCACACATACACAATCCATGTCTCAGGGCTTAAGAATCCTTCTTTAACCTGTCCCATCCCCTTAATCTACACAGATTTAAGTGGATTTAACAAGTGACATCAATAAGAGATAATAGCCTTTACCTGGATTTACCTGGTCAGTCTATGTCATGGAAAGAGCAGGTGTCCTTAATGTTTTGTACATTTAGTGTATACCCAGAGCAGAGATGGGCCGGTACTCTATGCACACCGAGGAGCGGTTGTCTGTCTGTCTGTAAGGTTGACTGACAATGAGAGGGAAAAACAAACACACAGAGACAGCCAGAGAGAGAGAGAGAGAGACAGCCAGAGAGAGAAGAGAGAAGAGGACACGCCAGAGAGAGAGAGAGAGAGAGACAGCCGAGAGAGAGAGAGAGAGGAGGGCACAGCCGAGAGAGAGAGAGAGAGAGAGAGAGAGGAAGAGAGAGAGAGAGAGAGAGAGAGAGAGAGAGCAGAGAGGAGAGAGAGAGAGAGAGAGAGGAGACGGAGAGAGAGGATGAGAGGAGAGAGGACAGCCGGAGAGAGAGAGAAGACAGCCGGAGAGAGAGAGAGAGCCGGAGAGAGAGAGAGACAGCCGGAGAGAGAGAGAGACAGCCGGAGAGAGAGAGAGAGAGAGGTGAAAGCTTGGCTCACTAAATATCCAGCCCAGTATGTATGTGTCCAGTTCAGTCCAAACAGAACATAGAAGAACAGAGGAGCAGAACAGGGTTGTAAATTCAGTCAGGTCCAAACACCACAAGGATCTATTGCTGAGCTATCTGAGGCTGTGTGATTGTGTTGGCAGGTCGTTATTGGGAGCGTAGCTACAAACAATTAGATCATATGGACCAGAGAGAGCAGAGCAGAGCAGGATCTGGTCCTCCTTTGTTCTGAGACTGTCAGAGAACAAATTACATTTGGTGACTCTGCTGCCAAAAAATACTTTCAGAACACACAAGTAGGCATGTATGCACACACACACACACACACACTTCTCATGAGCTAATTTCGCTTAATCACAGGGAAATAATGGTGCATGGTGGTACTTATAGTGCTTAAGAAGGAGTTAAGTAAAGTAAGCAAATTCCAACCCTGAAATACTGAGCTATTTCCCGCACACACTGTATGTGTCCCAAATGGCACTATTCCCTTAATAGTGCACTACTTCGGAAAGTATTCATACCCCTTGACTTTTTCAAAACTTTGTTACGTTCCAGCCTTATTCTAAAACGGATTAAAAAGCTGTTTTCATCAATCTACCCACAATACCCCATAGTGACAAAGCAAAAACAGGTTTATTACCTTTTGCAAATGTATAAAAAAAAAAATGGAATATCACATTTACTTAAGTATTTAGAAGCTTTACTCAGTACTTTGTTGAAGCACCTTTGGCAGCGATTACAGCCTCGAGTCTTCTTGGGTATGACGCTACAAGCTTGGCACACCTGTATTTGGGGAGTTTCTCCCATTCTTCTCTGCAGATCCTCTCAAGCGCTGTCAGGTTGGATGGGGAGCGTCGCTGCACAAGGACATTCAGAGACTTGTCCCGAAGCCACTCCTGCGTTGTTTTGGCTGTGTGCTTAGGGTCGTTGTCCTGTTGGAAGGTGAAACTATTGCCCCAGTCTGAGGTCCTGAGCGCTCTGGAGCAGGTTTTCATCAAGGATCTCTCTGTACTTTGCTCCGTTCATCTTTCCCTCGATCCTGACTAGTCTCCCAGTCCCTGCCGCTGAAAAACATCCCCACAGCATGATGCTGTCACCACCATGCTTCACCGTAGGGATGGTGCCAGGTTTCCTCCAGACATGACGCTTGGCATTCAGGCCAAAGAGTTCCATCTCAAGGATGATCCATGGAAACAGGATGCACCTGAGCTCAATTTCGAGTCTAATAGCAAAGGATCTGAATACGTAAATAAGGTAACTGTTTATACATTTGCAAAACATTTAAAAAAAACAGTTTTTGCTATGATGAGAACAACATAATATTTGATCAATTTTAGAATAAGGCTGTAACGTAACAAAATGTGGAAAAAGTCAAGGGGTCTGAATACTTTCCCAATGCACTGTAAAGGGGATAGGGTACCATTTGGGATGCAGCCACAGAACCAGCTAAGAGTGGAGTGGTTGGTGCATTAAGCTGTTGAACCAATCGATGGCCAGCCCTCACAGAGACATTGACCTTTCACCTCTGGGGGAATTGTCTGTGCGGGAGCCGAGAAGCTGGGGCAGCTGGGTCCCGGGATAACTGCTTTCCTAACCATGCCAGCTCAGATAAACAAACATTCCACACGGGAAAGGAACATCCTTCATGTGTTGTGCAGAGAAGAGGAAGAAGTAGAAGAACAGGAGAAGTGCTATGTTGTGGTGGTGGCTGGTGGGGAAACCACCAAGGAGGATAAGGGGATTTTGGAACTGTGGTGGAAAAAAAATTCACAAGGACTTCCTTTTTGTAAACACATCCAAATGTATATATGAAATTATGCCCATGGCCCTAGAAATTAACTTGGTAACTTGGTGGTATACTTAAGCCATACTAAAAGCCTTGCACTAACTAGCTAGCTAGCTCGGCCTTATTAAACTAAAGTCGGCAGGAGAAAGTAGCTTGGTGCAAACTATGTATTATAACAAACACACATTAAGCCCTATTGGTAGAGATTCCTGTGGAGGCGGTAGATAGGTAGCTTGGTGCTAACCTTGGTGTGTCTCTCAGGGTCACCCCCTGGGGGCAGTGTGGGGATCTGAAAGCTGTGTCTCCTAGCTTGGCCCTAAGGGAATTACCTGACTGCCTGCTATCAGATGGCCCGGACCTCTGAGCCTCATCACTTCACACTGCTGCACAGTACAGCACAGCAACCGCTAAGCTAACCCTCCCTATATAGCGCACTACTTTTACTTTACTCAAGAGCCCTACACTGTCCCTGAGCAGCCAATCACACTGCCTGGCTGAAGGAGGTCACAGCCACCTCACCTGGCGGGCTGAGGATGGGGACGTCACGTCTCCTGAGGGTATGGTCAGGTCCCACAGAGGTGAGGGGACACAGAAAAGGGGCCAGAGAGAGAAAATATAACCACAATGTGCTACTTTCTACTTCCCTCTAGATGAAGCTGTGAGGAGTGGAGGCTGGAGGGGGAATTGTGACGTTATCTAGCTAGTTGTCTGGGCTGGTTGTCTTTGTAGGAACAGATGGAATGGTATCTGTAACTGGGACAAAAGGCTGGATAATGGAAAGACCACCGTGGTTAAGACCCCTAGGCGAGTTAGCCTTATGGTATAGGCAGTCTATGTAGGTAGTCTCTCTCAGTGATACATATTTGCACTGACTGAGAGAATATCGTTCAGGCAGAATGAACACTGTCTGACGAAGACTGAAACAGATTATAATGAGCTCCCTAGTTTACAGTCTGTCTGTGTGTATTCAGCTCCCCTAAGGAGTTTGTGTGTGTGTGTGTGTGTGTGTGTGTCTCTCTCCCTCTGTTTTCTTACGTGTGGAGGGATTAAGCATAAAGGGGGGGTTGGGGTGGACATGTGCATAGAACATGAGTTATGCCTCACAATACATATTTCACGAATATTTCGCTAAACTGGCAAGACAACCGAATGCAGCGGCAGCAGCAGCAGACAGGCTAAAGAGAGGAGCATCAAACGCTAACCCCTGCTGTTCAGTAAACACACTATGCTATGCTACAGTACAGTGGCTGTTTTCATCTTCTGTCTGTTGGCAGCACAAGCACCAATAGCACCATAAACACTGTTCATAGGAGGGGAGAGCAGCCTGATGAGTGTCATTATGGGCAACAGTGTGCATGTTTGGGGGGGGGGGGGGGGGGGGGGGGGCGTGTGTGTGTGCGTGTGCGTCAGCCTGAATAAGTGTGAATGAATTACATTTTATTTTCGTGTCAAATCGCCAATTGGCAACCTATCCCTTATGGGATTAATTGACACATAAACTAACATTACAATAATTCACTGTGGTAATTAAATGATAATTCTTCTTCCGGTGTTCTCTGCATTGCGCATCGCATATAGAGTGAAAACATTTAAGGTCAAAATCAATACATAATAGTAAATAAGGTTATCCAAACAATAATTATATCCCTAGAGCAGTAAAAGAATATACATACATACAGTGAGGGAAAAAAGTATTTGATCCCCTGCTGATTTCGTACGTTTGCCCACTGACAAAGAAATGATCAGTCTATAATTTGAATGGGAGGTTTATTTGAACAGTGAGAGACAGAATAACAACAACAAAAAATCCAGAAAAACGCATGTCAAAAATGTTATAAATTGATTTGCATTTTAATAAGTATTTGACCCCTCTGCAAAACATGACTTTGTGATTGCCAACAAGGGTTTTGCCACCAAGAACTGAGGTCAGACGTTTCTTGTAGTTGGCCACCAGGTTTGCACACATCTCAGGAGGGATTTTGTCCCACTCCTCTTTGCAGATCTTCTCCAAGTCATTAAGGTTTCGAGGCTGACGTTTGGCAACTCGAACCTACAGCTCCCTCCACAGATTTTCTATGGGATTAAGGCCTGGAGACTGGCTAGGCCACTCCAGGACCTTAATGTGCTTCTTCTTGAGCTACTCCTTTGTTGCCTTGGCCGTGTGTTTTGGGTCATTGTCATGGTGGAATACCCATCCATGACCCATTTTCAATGCCCTGGCTGAGGGAAGGAGGTTCTCACCCAAGATTTGACGGTACATGGCCCCGTCCATCGTCCCTTTGATGCGGTGAAGTTGTCCTGTCCCCTTAGCAGAAAAACACCCCCAAAGCATAATGTTTCCACCTCCATGTTTGACGGTGGGGATGGTGTTCTTGGGGTCATAGGCAGCATTCCTCCTTCTCCAACCACGGCGAGTTGAGTTGATGCCAAAAGCTCAATTTTGGTCTCATCTGACCACAACACTTTCACCCAGTTCTCCTCTGAATCATTCAGATGTTCATTGGCAAACTTCAGACGGGCATGTATATGTGCTTTCTTGAGCAGGAGGACCTTGGTGACTATGGTCCCAGCTGCCTTGAGATCATTGACAAGATCCTCCCGTGTAGTTCTGGGCTGATTCCTCACCATTTTCATGATCATTGCAACTCCACGAGGTGAGCTCTTGCATGGAGCCCCAGGCCGAGGGAGATTGACAGTACTTTTGTGTTCCTTCCATTTGCGAATAATCGCACCAACTGTTGTCACCTTCTCACCAAGCTGCTTGGCAATGGTCTTGTAGCCCATTCCAGCCTTGTGTAGGTCTACAATCTTGTCCCTGACATCCTTGGAGAGCTCTTTGGTCTTGGCCATGGTGGAGAGTTTGGAATCTGATTGATTGATTGCTTCTGTGGACAGGTGTCTTTTATACAGGTAACAAGCTGAGATTAGGAGCACTCCCTTTAAGAGTGTGCTCCTAATCTCAGCTCGTTACCTGTATAAAAGACACCTGGGAGCCAGAAATCTTTCTGATTGAGAGGGGGTCAAATACTTATTTCCCTCATTAAAATGCAAATCAATTTATAACATTTTTGACATGAATTTTTCTGGATTTTGTTGTTGTTATTCTGTCTCCCACTGTTCAAATAAACCTACCATTAAAATTATAGACTGATCATTTCTTTGTCAGTGGGCAAACGTACAAAATCAGCAGGGGATCAAATACTTTTTTCCCCTCACTGTACATACATACATACACACACAGAAAAATAAATACAGAAAAAAAAGAAACAGAAGGCATTTGAACTCAGTCTGGCACAAAGAGAAGATTCATAAGGGAGACAAGCCTATACAGAATGTATATACACACATGCCATTTACCACAAAGAAGCTAAATATTTTTACAATTTCATTATAGGTAGCCCTTTTTCTTTTATTCCAGGCTTTATCTAAATATTCCGCAAACGGAAATACACAATGACAAAAAACAATTGTAGTTTCTCCTCATCGCTCAGCCACATAATGCCATGGTATATCTGGTGTGCTTTCTGGAATAAGAGCAAGCGTATATCGTGGTAGAAAGGGCAATAGAGGACAAAATTAGTTTCATTCTCTATTTCTTTGAGGTCACAATAGTTACATAGTCTTTCCTCTTCCATTTCACCACAATACCGACCTGTTTCAATACGCAGAGGCAATATCCCTGATCTTACTTGCTTTTAGGTAAGTTATACATAATATATATATCTCTCACACACGAATTCACCCTTAAATCAAACAAAAGGTTCTCAATTTAGGTTCATGATTAATCTCCTCAACCCATTTTTTTTCATATTGCATCAACAGCTGTATTTTAATCATATATATGTCTCCCTTAATTTGTTTTTCATACAGATGTTCACAGTCAGACTGCTGAAAAAGGTCAGACATTTCAGTTGCCCAGGCAACCCCTATGGAGAGATCCCATTGAAAAACTTTACTAGCTATTCTGGCAGTTGGCATATCCAACAGTGTATTCCAAAGTCTCACCATACATGCCTTCCATCTCACCTCCAGCCCATGTCCCCAGTTATTGCAAGTATAGGTGCAAACTTGTGGACACCTACAAAGTAACGTACTGCTCTGTTATGGACATGTTCATTTTAAAAATATAGGGAATAGGGTGCCATTTGAGACGCGCAGAGGGACTCCGGCAGGAGCTCAGGGAGGGTTTGCTTAGCGGTCGCTGTGCTGGACTGTGCAGCAGTGTGGAGTGATGAGGCTCAGAGGTCTGGGCCATCTGATAGCAGACAGTCAGGTAATTCCCTCAGGGCCAAGCTAGGAGACACAGCTTTCACATCCCCACACTGCCCCCAGGGGGCGACCCTGAGAGACACACCAAGGTTAGCGCCAAGCTACCTACCACCTCCACAGGAATCTCTACCAATAGGGCTTAATGTGTGTTTATTATAATACATCGTTTGCACCAAGCTACTTTCTCCTGCCAACTTTAGTTTAATAAGGCCGAGCTAGCTAGCTAATGCAAGGCTTTTAGTATGGCAACTTCATCTCCTTCCACCCTCTACTAAGAAAAGCAGAGTTGTTTGCCTGTGCCATGACATCACAAAAATAGCTTGTTCCCGACTCAGGGGACATTCTGGCTGTGTGCATCTGGTCTCCTCTAGGTCGTATCCATTAGGGCACACCGTAGCAAAAAGTGTATTTTCTTATTGGACAAGTTCAGGTAGTCCCTACCTGTTTCAGTCCGTTGTTTTCCGTTTGGTGGCTTATGAACCCAACCTTGCTCTGTCTGGGGGTATCTAATGAGAGGACTAGCAGACTAGAGCCTGTCTGTGTGTGTGTGTGTGTGTGTGTGTGTGTGTGTGTGTGTGTGACCTGTGTGTGTGTCTGCATGCAAGCACACGTTTTTGTGTGAGCGGAGCCGACAGTGAGACAAGCAGCTCTTTGTGAGGAGGAGGAGGGATGATCAAAGAGACCAGGGAAGGCCTGGACACTGTCTGAGTCTGGCTGGGAGTTAAAATGGCTGACAAGCCACAATAATTACCCTATCCCCGCCATGTGAAACTAAACTTGGGCTGCCTCCCAAATGGCACCCTTTTCCTTTTATAGTGTATAACTTTTGAGCAGGGCCCAATAGGGCTCTGTTCAAAAGTAGTGCTCTATATAGGGGATGCCAATTGGGACACACCCCTACCCAGGACACCAACCAACGAACGCATCGCAGCCTGACCCCAGCACAGAGCTTTGACTTTCAACTCTATTATTTCATACACGGGGTAAAACAGCGGCGGGGGTGCACACTCAAAAGGAGTAAAATGTTGAGAGGTTGTGGGGTTAAATTAATACATTTTGGATAAAAATACATACTAGGGATAAACATATCATAAATGGTGCAATTTGAACAAGAGCTCTTCCGTTGGCGGTTTTTCTACATGTTGTAACAGGGCTAGAGGTCCATAAAAATGTGTATCTTCTCAATGTCTCTAACAAAAGCCTTTCACTACTGTATATTCTGTTAGGACTGACATTATTCTGAATACAGACATTTCACTGTGGGAGTTAATGTCTACTGATGGAGTTGGACATTTCCATCTGGGAGGATAAGGTGGAGATAGAGCTTGAAGACTTGTCTCTTGTTCTCTCTCTCACTCACACACACACACACACACACACACACACACACACACACACACACACACACACACACACACACACACACACACACAAATTAAAATGACAATGAGCAGGCAGGGCAGGAGAACAGGCCTGGGGACACACCGCTACACTACTAAGCCCACTGATGAGGCAAGCTATTCAGACCCACCACCAGCTCACACAACCACACTCTGTCTGGCTGGCTGGGGCCTACATACTGTATGTAACAAAGGCTATAGTTTCCACTACAGTTACTAATAGTAGTCAGAAATGTAAAGTGAACATAAATAGTAACACCTAGTGTATTTGTGGATTGATTAACTTCGAAACGTTACTAAATCAAGCGTTGTGCTAACAGGTTTCTTAGAATGCTGTGGGAAAACAACCCTAAGCTATAATCGAAAGATGTATTACTTTTAGATTCTAAAGTAACTGAATAACAGCACTACAATGGTTTAATGCCATTCCAGTTTTGTCTAACTGTCAGCAGATGTCAGCTCCTGAAGTGTGTGTGTGTGTGTGTGTGTGTGTTCACTATGTTCGTGTGCGAGATGGCTGCTAGGAAGAATTCATGGTGATCTGTTCTAATTACTGAAGGCTTCTGAGTAGACTGAGCAGTAGGACTGGGACCGGGATATTATTCCTAGACTGAGCATTGGGAATGGGGATATAAGCTGAGACATGCCCATAATGACATACCTTGAGACCTGGTAGACTGATGGTTGCCAAGCTCTAACGTTACTTACACCGCAGTTAGCACCACACGTGCAGGTTATTACCCAAACCACCCCCTTCCGCATTCTCCCATTCCCACTTCCTTTCCTATGAATACTGAAAACTCCCAGACGTCCACAGACATTCTGCTCGGGAATCCTGTGTGACATCTTTTAAGGTATTGTCACTCACTGACCTGTGACCTCTATTCTCATTGGTGGCGTTCCCTAGTTCTGTGTTTCCAAACACAAAGTAAAAAAAAACAAGACTAAACATTTTCATAACTTTTATAATTGTGGTTGGTGAGGCAGTTCCACCTTAAAAATGTATCCTTGAAGGCAATCATTCTCACCCTGTCATTCATCCGAGGATTAACATACACTCAGGTCCAAAATGATTGGCACCCTTGATAAAGAAGAGCAAAGAAGACTGTATAAAATAAATAATACAAATCCTGAGCTACAGTATATTGTATGCTTTTATACTAATAAAATTGCACTGGTGTGTGTGGCCAAAGAGCTCTATTTTCATGTAATCTGACCATAGCACCGGTTCCAATCCAAGTGCCAATGCCGTTTAGCAAACCCCAGGCAATGCAATGTTCAGATTACATGAAAATAGAGCTCTTTGGCCACGCACACCAGTGGTGGGTTTGGCTTCATAAAACGGAAGTATATGCAGTACCTCATACCGACGGTAAAATATGGTGGTGGATCTTTGATGTTATGGGGCTATTTTGCTTCCACTGGTCCTGGGGCCCTTGTTAAGTTGAACGGCATAATGAACTTTACCAAGTACCAGGACATTTTAGCCAAAAACCTGGTTGCCTCTGCCAGGAGGCTGAAACTGGGCTGCAGGTGGATCTTCCAGCAATACAATAACCCCATGCACACATACAAATCCACAAAGAACCTGTAAATTTACCACAAAATCAAACATTTTCAATGGCCATCTCAGTCTCCAGATGTTAACCCCATTGAAAACCTGTGGGTTGAATATAAGGGTGCAGTTCATAAGCGCAGACTAAGGATATCAAGGATCTGGAAAGATACTGTATGGAGGAATGGTCTAAGATCCCTCCCAATGTGTTCTCCAATCTCATAAAACATTTGTGACCGGATTCAGGAAGGTGGGCGTTTGACGCTAGTTCCTACTTCACAGCAGGGCCATTTGAAAAAAATTAATATATTTCTTTGTCCAGAAACGCCTTCTTGAACATGTGAACTTTCATGTGCCTTAATAAAAAACTGGTATGTGATCTTAAATTACGAGTTTAGCCAAGGAGAAAGTACTCCGCTATATAGAGGGTAGGACAAGATCCTTCCTGGCTTGCCCTGATATAGAGCAATAGTTATGGTGTCGTTTTGTAGGCACTAACGGAGGCTATCTCCGCCATGGCTCGTTGGCCAAATCCTATAGGGAAATTAATGTTGTTAATTTAGGGTTTTTGGATAAAGAGCTAAAATAAAGTCTGTAGTAAACACAGGCTTAGGAGATCTTATACGTTTTGTTCTATGAGATAATCTTCAGCTTACATCACTTATTGTGAATTTTGAAGCATTTATGTCATCAAAACAAGCACATAAAGCACATTAAGGCTTCATAATTTATAAGGGTCATGTTAACTTACTGATACAGTGGGGAGAACAAATATTTGATACACTGCCGATTTTGCAGGTTTTCCTACGTACAAAGCATGTAGAGGTCTGTAATTTTGATCATAGGTACACTTCAACTGTGAGCGACGGAATCTAAAACAAAAATCCAGAAAATCACATTGTATGATTTTTAAGTAATTAATTTGCATTTTATTGCATGACATAAGTATTTGATACATCAGAAAAGCAGAACTTAATATTTGGTACAGAAACCTTTGTTTGCAATTACAGAGATCATACGTTTTCTGTAGGTCTTGACCAGGTTTGCACACACTGCAGCAGGGATTTTGGCCCACTCCTCCATACAGACCTTCTCCAGATCCTTCAGGTTTCGGGGCTGTCGCTGGGCAATACGGACTTTCAGCTCCATCCAAAGATTTTCTATTGGGTTCAGGTCTGGAGACTGGCTAGGCCACTCCAGGACCTTGAGATGCTTCTTACGGAGCCACTCCTTATTTGCCCTGGCTGTGTGTTTCGGGTCGTTGTCATGCTGGAAGACCCAGCCACGACCCATCTTCAATGCTCTTACTGAGGGAAGGAGGTTGTTGGCCAAGATCTCGCGATACATGGCCCCATCCATCCTCCCCTCAATACGGTGCAGTCGTCCTGTCCCCTTTGCAGAAAAGCATCCCCAAAGAATGATGTTTCCACCTCCATGCTTCACGGTTGGGATGGTGTTCTTGGGGTTGTACTCATCCTTCTTCTTCCTCCAAACACGGCGAGTGGAGTTTAGACCAAAAAGCTCTATTTTTGTCTCATCAGACCACATGACCTTCTCCCATTCCTCCTCTGGATCATCCAGATGGTCATTGGCAAACTTCAGACGGGCCTGGACATGCGCTGGCTTGAGCAGGGGGACCTTGCGTGCGCTGCAGGATTTTAATCAATGATGGCGTTGTGTGTTACTAATGGTTTTCTTTGAGACTGTGGTCCCAGCTCTCTTCAGGTCATTGACCAGGTCCTGCCATGTAGTTCTGGGCTGATCCCTCACCTTCCTTATGATCATTGATGCCCCACGAGGTGAGATCTTGCATGGAGCCCCAGACCGAGGGTGATTGACCATCATCTTGAACTTCTTCCATTTTCTAATAATTGCGCCAACAGTTGTTGCCTTCTCACCAAGCTGCTTGCCTATTGTCATGTAGCCCATCCCAGCCTTGTGCAGGTCTACAATTTTATCCCTGATGTCCTTACACAGCTCTCTGGTCTTGGCCATTGTGGAGAGGTTGGAGTCTGTTTGATTGAGTGTGTGGACAGGTGTCTTTTATACAGGTAACGAGTTCAAACAGGTGCAGTTAATACAGGTAATGAGTGGAGAACAGGAGGGTTTCTTAAAGAAAAACTAACAGGTCTGTGAGAGCCGGAATTCTTACTGGTTGGTAGGTGATCAAATACTTATGAAAATCATACAATGTGATTTTCTGGATTTTTGTTTTAGATTCCGTCGCTCACAGTTGAAGTGTACCTATGATAAAAATTACAGACCTCTACATGCTTTGTAAGTAGGAAAACCTGCAAAATCGGCAGTGTATCAAATACTTGTTCTCCCCACTGTATATCATAGAACAAAACATAAGAACCCCTAAGCCAGAACTTATTTTCTGCATATATCCCAAAACCCCCTTCTTTCCCCATTAATTTCCCCATTAGGAATGGTCAACAAACCATATTGGCTGAGATAATGCAGGGGCTGGACATGCCGAGAGATGAGTCCTGATTGGTCTGTCATGTCACAGGCTTCTCTCTATAACAGACTGGGGCCTTCCCTGGGCATTCGGAAAGTACTCAGACCCACAGATGCATTTTGTTACGTTTCAGCCTTATTCTAAAATCGATTAAATTGTTTTTTTTTCTCCACCTCATCAATCTACACACAATACCCCATAATGACAAAGCAAAAACAGGTTTTTAGAAATGTATGCAAAATGTATTACAAATAAAAAAACTGAAATATCACATTTACAGTGGGGGAAAAAAGTATTTAGTCAGCCACCAATTGTGCAAGTTCTCCCACTTAAAAAGATGAGAGAGGCCTGTAATTTTCATCATAGGTACACGTCAACTATGACAGACAAAATGAGAAAAAAAAATCCAGAAAATCACATTGTAGGATTTTTAATGAATTTATTTGCAAATGATGGTGGAAAATAAGTATTTGGTCAATAACAAAAGTTTCTCAATACTTTGTTATATACCCTTTGTTGGCAATGACACAGGTCAAACGTTTTCTGTAAGTCTTCACAAGGTTTTCACACACTGTTGCTGGTATTTTGGCCCATTCCTCCATGCAGATCTCCTCTAGAGCAGTGATGTTTTGGGGCTGTCGCTGGGCAACACAGACTTTCAACACCCTCCAAAGATTTTCTATGGGGTTGAGATCTGGAGACTGGTTAGGCCACTCCAGGACCTTGAAATGCTTCTTACGAAGCCACTCCTTCGTTGCCCGGGCGGTGTGTTTGGGATCATTGTCATGCTGAAAGACCCAGCCACGTTTCATCTTCAATGCCCTTGCTGATGGAAGGATGTTTTCACTCAAAATCTCACGATACATGGCCCCATTCATTCTTTCCTTTACACGGATCAGTCGTCCTGGTCCCTTTGCAGAAAAACAGCCCCAAAGCATGATGTTTCCACCCCCATGCTTCACAGTAGGTATGGTGTTCTTTGGATGCAACTCAGCATTCTTTGTCCTCCAAACACGACGAGTTGCGTTTTTACCAAAAAGTTCTATTTTGGTTTCATCTGACCATATGACATTCTCCCAATCCTCTTCTGGATCATCCAAATGCACTCTAGCAAACTTCAGACGGGCCTGGACATGTACTGGCTTAAGCTGGGGGACATGTCTGGCACTGCAGGATTTGAGTCCCTGGCGGCGTAGTGTGTTACTGATGGTAGGCTTTGTTACTTTGGTCCCAGCTCTCTGCAGGTCATTCACTAGGTCCCCCCGTGTGGTTTTGGGATTTTTGCTCACCGTTCTTGTGGTCATTTTGACCCCACGGGGTGAGATCTTGCGTGGAGCCCCAGATCGAGGGAGATTATCAGTGGTCTTGTATGTCTTCCATTTCCTAATAATTGCTCCCACAGTTGATTTCTTCAAACCAAGCTGCTTACCTATTGCAGATTCAGTCTTCCCAGCCTGGTGCAGGTCTACAATTTTGTTTCTGGTGTCCTTTGACAGCTCTTTGGTCTTGGCCATAGTGGAGTTTGGAGTGTGACTGTTTGAGGTTGTGGACAGGTGTCTTTTATACTGATAACAAGTTCAAACAGGTGCCATTAATACAGGTAACGAGTGGAGGACAGAGGAGCCTCTTAAAGAAGAAGTTACAGGTCTGTGAGAGCCAGAAATCTTGTTTGTAGGTGACCAAATACTTATTTTCCACCATAATTAGCAAATAAATTCATTAAAAATCCTACAATGTGATTTTCTGGATTTTGTTTTCTCAATTTGTCTGTCATAGTTGACGTGTACCTATGATGAAAATTACAGGCCTCTCTCATCTTTTTAAGTGGGAGAACTTGCACAATTGGTGGCTGACTAAATACCTTTTTTCCCCACTGTACATACTGTATGTATTCAGACCCTTTACTCAGTACTTTGTTGAAGCACCATTGGCAGCGATTACAGCCTCGAGTCTTCTTGGGTATGACGCTACAAACTTAGCACACCTGTATTTGGGGAGTTTCTCCCATTCTTCTCTGCAAATCCTCTCAAGCTCTGTCATGTTGGATGGGGAGCATCGCTGCACAGCTATTTTCAGGTCTCTCCAGAAATGTTCGATCGGGTTCAAGTCCGGGCTCTGGCTGGGCCACTCAAGGACATTCAGAGACTTGTCCCCAAGCCACTCCTGCGTTGTCTTGGCTGTGTGCTTGGGGTCGTTGTCCTGTTGGAAGGTGAACCTTCGCCCCAGTCTGAGGTCCTGAGTGCTCTGGAGCAGGTTTTCATCAAGGATCTCTCCGTACTTTGTTCCGTTCATCTTTGCCTTGATCCTGACTAGTCTCCCAGTCCCTGCCGCTGAAAAACATCCCCACAGCATGATGCTGCCACCACCATGCTTCACCATAGGGATGGTGCCAGGTTTCCTCCAGACGTGAGTTCAATCTTGGTTTCATCAGAGCAGAGAATCTTGTTTCTCATGGTCTGAGAGTCCTTTAGGTGCCTGTCATGTAACTTTAACTGAGGAGTTGCTTCCGTCTGGCCACTCTACCATAAAGGCCTGATTGGTGGAGTGCTGCAGCTATGGTTGTCCTTCTGGAAGGTTATCCCATCTCCACAGAGGAACTCCGTAGCTCTGTCAGAGTGACCATCGGGTTCTTGGTCACCTCCCTTCTCCCCTGATTGCTCAGTTTGGCAGGGCGGCCAGCTCAAGGAAGAGTCTTGGTGGTTCCAAACTTCTTCCAGTTAAGAATGATGGAGGCCACTGTGTTCTTGGGGACCTTCAATGCTGCAGAAATTTTTTGGTACCCTTCCCCAGATCTGTGCCTCGACACAATCCTGTCTCGGAGCTCTAAGGACAATTCCTTCGACCTCATGCCTTGGTTTTTGCTCTGACATGCACTGTCAACTGTGGGACCTTATATAGACAGGTGTGTGCCTTTCCAAATCATGTCCAATCAATTGAATTTACCACAGATGGACTCCAATCAAGTTGTAGAAACATCTCAAGGATGATCAATGGAAACAGGATGCACAAGCTCAATTTCGAATCTCATAGCAAAGGGTCTGAATACTTACGTAAATAAGGTATTTCAGTTTTTAATTTTTCATAGAATCTAACAACCTGTTTTTGCTTCGTCATTATGGGGTATTATGTGTAGATTGATGAGGATTATTTTTTTTTTTATACATTATTGAATAAGGCTGTAACGTAACAAAATGTGGATAAAGTCAAGTGGTCTGAATCCTTTCCGACTGCACTGTAGATCATCTTTGCCATCGCAGATTTTTGGGACGATATAGATATGGACAACTGCAAAAGTGTTGCTACAGCTCTCAAAAACATTTCTGACCTGAATTTAGCTGGTGCTCATGAACTTGTTTAGCTAGCTAAACAAAGGCGAAAAAAAGAGACCCATTCAAAGAGACCAGTTCCCATGTGAAATCTTAAAGAGATGGGTGGTGCTAAGGCCTAAGAGGGCGTGAACAATGCTGAATAGGCATACACAAAGAAAAGCTCTCGAACTAGTGTTCTCAAAAGTGGGGTTACAAGTTTATCAACTTTTAAAGCAGCATAACTTTCCCCAACTACAGTGTATAATATACCATTTTGAAGTACCATTCTGTACTTTTATAAAATTTAAAAAGTCCAGATAGAGCTGGCTGGGCACATTTTAGAAAAAGGCTATGTCGTTATCCTAGCAAGGGGAGGGAGCTACAGTATTGAAAACAGCAGTGCCAATAACTTTTTTAGATGTATTGTTATTACTTGTTAAACAAAATCTCTTTCTCTGAGCAATTGTATTAATATTGGAGCATACAATACATACTCAGTATTCCTACTATTTATCTAATAGTATTTTTTGCTCATCTTTATCAAGGGTGCCAATAATTTTGGACCTGCCTGTACATCCATATACCATACAGTCTAATACCTACCTATACACCTCTCATGTAACTACAGTCCATCCAGATACACATTCAACACACCTGTAATTATCTAAACCTGTTCTACCAGTCGACAGACAGCGGAGAACATGTAGGCTACATCACACTTGGCTGGCGTGTGGAGGGAGCCTAGCTGTTGAAAGCCATGTAAATACTGTGTAATATCTGACTGCCGTAAGCTGCCAGTGTCTGCAGCTGCAGCCTGAAGTGGCGCTCTAACTGTTCAGAACAGTTTGTGCATACACTACCAGTCAAAATCTCCATGATAGTCCCACTAAGCCCAAACCAGATGGGATGGCGTATTGGTGCAGAATGCTGTGGTAGCCATGCTGGTTAAGTGTGCATTGAATTCTAAACAAATCACAGACAGTTTCGATAGCAAATCACCCCCACACCATAACACCTCCTCCATGCTTTACGGTGGGAACTACACATGCGGAGATCATCCGTTCACCCACACCGCGTCTCACAAAGACACGGCGGTTGGAACCAAAAATCTCCAGTTTGGACTCCAGACCAAAGGACACATTTCCACCGGTCTAATGTCCATTGCTCGTGTTTCTTGGCCCAAGCAGGTCTCTTCTTCTTATTGGTGTCCTTTAGTAGTGGTTTCTTTGCAGCAATTCGACCATGAAGGCCTGATTCACACAGACCCCTCTGAACAGTTGATGTTGAGATGTGTCTAGTCCCCTTTAGCTCAGTTGGTAGAGCATGGCGCTTGCAATGCCAGGGTTGTGGGTTCGTTTCCCACGGGGGGCCAGTATGAAAAATGTATGCACTCACTAACTGTAAGTCGCTCTGGATAAGAGCGTCTGCTAAATGACTAAAATGTAAAATGTGTCTGTGACTTGAACTCTGTGAAGCATTTATTTGGACTGCAATTTCAGAGTCTGGTAACTCTAATGAACTTATCCTCTGCAGCAGAGGGAAATCTGGGTCTTCCATTCGTGTGGCGGTCCTCATGATAGCCAGTTTCATCATAGTGCTTGATGGTTTTTGCGACTGCACTTGAAGAAACTTTCAAAGTTCTTGAAATGTTCCGTATTGACTGTCCTTCATGTCTTAAAGTAATGATGGACTGTAGTTTCTCTTTGCTTATTTGAGCTTTTCTTGCCATAATATGGACTTGGTCTTTTACCAAATAGGGCTATCTTCTGTATACCCCCCCTACCTAGTCACAACACAACTGATTGGCTCAAACGCATTAAGAAGGAAAGAAATTCCACAAATTAACTTTTAACAAGGCACACCTGTTAATTGAAATGCATTCCAGGTGAAGCTGGTTGAGAGAATGCCAAGAATGTGCAAAGCTGTCATAAAGGCAAAGGATGGCTATTTTAATAATCTCAAATCTCAAATATATTTTTTGGTTACTACATGATTCCATATGTGTTATTTCATAGCTTTGATGTCTTCACTATTATTCTACAATGTAGAAAATAGTAAAAATAAAGAAAAACCCTTGAATGAGTAGGTGTGTCCAAATGTTTGACTGGTACTGTATATTATGATGAAAGCCGAAGTTCGGAAGCCGAAGTCTACGCCCCTTCGTCGGTGATTGGTCAACAGTAGGGATTCTTCAATTAAGTGTTTGTTATCATTCAATGACAGACGACTCGTTTCATGCACATTTTTCACTTGAGAAATACTGCACCAAACATATTAGATGTAAAATTGCGTGAGTAAGATCTCCTCTGCAAAAACGCAAAAATGTATGACATTTCTTGAGTTATATTAGATTAATTCTGACTATTTTGAGGAAGTGTATACTGGCTACGGCATCTCAAGATGGACAAACAGTACTATTGCTGCTTTTTTCTCGTTTTTCAAGCAAAGGTCTTTTAACCCATAATTCTAAGCCGGGGGAGGTTCTACTAAGCTATATGGAATTGTTTTAAGAATGTCATACCTTGCAAAAGTATGAATCCCCCTTGGAGTTTGTCCTATTTTGTTGCATTACAACCTGTAATTGAAATTGATTTTTATTTCATGTAATGGACATACACAAAATAGTTCAAATTTGTGAAGTGAAATGAAAAAAATAACGGAAAAGTGGTGCGAGAATATGTATTCATCCCCTTTGCTATGAAGCCCCTAAATAAGATCTGGTGCAACCAATTACCTTCAGAAGTCACATAATTAGTTAAATAAAGTCCACCTGTGTGCAATCTAAGTGTCACATGATCTGTCACATGATCGCAGTATATATACACACCTGTTCTGAAAGGCCCCAGAGTCTGCAACACCACTAAGCAAGGGGCACCACCAAGCAAGCGGCACCATGAAGACCAAGGAGCTCTCCAAACAGGTCAGGGACAAAGTTGTGGAGAAGTACAGATCAGGGTTGGGTTATAAAGAAATATCCAAAACTTTGAACATCCCACGGAGCACCATTAAATCCATTATAAAAAAATTGAAAGAATGTGGCACCACAACAAACCTGCCAAGAGAGGGCCGCCCACCAAAACTCACAGACCAGGCAAGGAGGGCATTAATCAGAGGCGCAACAAAGAGACCAAGTAGATTGGAGTATCTGTCCATAGGACCACTTTAAGCCGTACACTCCACAGAGCTGGGCTTTATGGAAGAGTGACCAGGAAAAAGACATTGCTTAAAGAAAAAAATAAGCAAACAAAAGGCATGTGGGAGACTCCCCAAACATATGGAAGAAGGTACTCTGGTCAGATGAGACTAAAATTGAGCTTTTTGACCAAGGAAAACGCTATGTCTGGCGCAAACCCAACACCTCTCATCACCCCGAGAACACCATCAATGTTTTTCATTAGCATCCCGGAGTCGCCTCTTCACTCTTGACGTTGAGACTGGTGTTTTGCGGGTACTATTTAATGAAGCTGCCAGTTGAGGACCTGTGAGGCGTCTTTTTCTCAAACTAGACACTAACGTATTTGTCCTCTTGCTCAGTTGTGCACCGGGGCCTCCCACTCCTCTTTCTATTCTGGTTAGAGCCAGTTTGCGCTGTTCTGTGAAAGGAGTAGTACACAGCGTTGTACGAGATCTTCAGTTTCTTGGCAATTTCTCGCATGGAATAGCCTTCATTTCTCAGAACAAGAATAGACTGACGAGTTTCAGAAGAAAGCTATTTGTTTTTGGCCATTTTGAGCCTGTAATCGAACCCACAATTGCTGATACTCCAGATACTCAACTAGTCTCAAGAAGTCCAGTTTTATTGCTTCTTTAATCAGCACAACAGTTTTCAGCTGTGCTAACATAATTGCAAAAGGGTTTTCTAATGATCAGTTAGCCTTTTAAAATGCTAAACTTGGATTAGCAAACACAACTGGCCATTGGAACACAGGACTGATGGTTGCTGATAATGGGCCTCTGTACGCCTATGTAGATATTCCATAAAAAAACAGCCGTTTCCAGCTACAATAGCCATTTACAATATTAACAATGTCTACACTGTATTTCTGAACAATTTGATGTTATTTTAATGGACAAAAAAATAGCTTTTCTTTTGAAAACAAGGACATTTCTAAGTGACCCCAAACTTTTGAACGGTAGTGTAAGTATTCACACCCCTAAGTCAATACATTTTAGAATCACCTTTGGCAGCGATTACAGCTATGAGTCTTTCTGGGTAAGTCTCTAAGAGCTTTCCACGCCTGGATTGTACAATATTGTTCAAGTTCTGTCAAGTTAGTTGTTGATCATTGCTAGACAGCCATTTTCAAGTCTTGCCATAGATTTTCAAGCCGATTTAAGTCAAAACTGTTACTAGGCCACTCAGGAACATTCAATGTTATCTTGATAAGCAACTTTAGTGTATATTTGGCCTTGTGTTTTAGGTTATTGTCCTGCTGAAAGGTGAATTCATCTCCCAGTGTCTGGTGGAAAGCAGAATGAACCAGGGTTTCCTCTAGGATTTTGCCTGTGCTTAGATCCATTCCGTTTCTTTTTTATCCTGAAAACCTCCCTAGTCCTTTACGATTACAAGCATACCCATAACATGATGCAGCCACCACTATGCTTGTAAATATGGAGAGTGGTACTCAGTAATGTGTTGCATACTACTGTATATATACAATGTCTGCTAATCCATAGAATACACAGAGCGATCATCCTCTCAGATCAATGACTAACTCTGAGACATGTGGACTACAGGAAAAAGAAGAGGACCGAGCACGCCCCCATTCTCTTCGACGGGGCTGTAGTGGAGCAGGTTGAGAGCTTCAAAATCCTTGGTGTCCACCTCACCAACAAACTAACATGGTCCAAGGACACCAAGACAGTCGTGAAGAGGGCACGACAAAACCTATTCCCCCTAAGGAGACTGAAAAGATTTGGCTTGGGCCCTCAGATCCTCAAAAGTTTCTACAGCTGCACCATCGAGAGCATCCTGACTGGTTGCATCACTGCCTGGTATGGCAAATGCTCGGCCTCCGACCACAAGGCACTACATAGGGTAGTGCGTACGGCCCAGTACATCACTGGGGCCAAGCTTCCTGCCATCCAGGACCTCTATACCAGGCGGTGTCAGAGGAAGGCCCTGAAAATTGTCGAAGACTCCAGCCACCCTAGTCGTAGACTGTTCTCTCTGCTACCGCACGGCAAGCGGTACCGGAGCGCCAAGTCTCGGTTGAAGAGGCTTCTAAACAGCTTCTATCCCCAAGCCATAAGACTCCTGAACATCTAATCAAATGGCTACCCCCCGCATGTGACAAATACAATTTGATTTGATTTATTGTATTTGCCCCAAACATACACTTTGTATTCAGGACAAAAAGTTAATTGCTTTGCCATATTTTTTGCCGTATTCTTTTCACTCTGTCAATTAGGTTAGTATTGTGGAGTAACTACAATGTTGTTGATCCATCCTCAGTTTTCTCCTATCACAGCCGTTAAACTCTAACTCTTTTAAAGTCACCATTGGCCTCATGGTGAAATCCCTGAGCGGTTTCCTTCCTCTCCGGCAACTGTATCTTTGTAGTGACTGGGTTTTTTGTTATTGTTTACTGATCTACCAATAGGTGCCCTTTGTGAGGCATTCGAAAATCTCCCTGGTCTTTGTGGTTGAATCTGTGTTTGAAATTCACTGCTGTATGTGTGAGGTACAGAGATTAGGTGTTTCTGAGCTTTGGGGAAAATAACCAGGAGAATGCTCTCAGACAGCGCCCTGCTATGTATACCAATGTCCTTCTGCCTACTCCCAGTGTTTCTCTATACCCTCTATGTCCTTCAATGACTGTAAACCCTGCATAATGGTTTTAATACAGGGAGAGGTGTCCCTACCCTCCTACATGTTACCATTTTACAGTCCTATAGTGTCTGTGGAGGTGTTAGATTGTCTCCTCCTGGGGACTGCCAGTGCCAGGATGTGCCAGGCAAGGCTGCTGGTGTGTGTGAGTGTGTGGAGGCGGGGTTGAACAGTAGCAATGGGGGGGGGGGGGGGGGGTTGCAGCATACACCTTTGCTCATCTCTTTCTCAACCCCCTGCTCGCTCTCTCTATCCTTTTATTGCTCTACTAGCCCCCCCCCCCGCTCTCTCTGAGTGGGAGCCTGACAGAGACTCTAGAGGAAGACTGCGGCTGGCGCTGCCGACACCACAGAGCTTCCTGAGTAACTGCACTGAGAGAGACGTCTGGTGTGTGTGTTTATTTGCGCATGAAAGGGAGGTGCAGGCGTACACTGCAAAGAAATAAACTATTTTGGTGCAACAATAGTGAATGTGTATCGCAAGTGGAATAAAATATTGACAATTCTACATCATCCAGTTTTGGAGAGTGTGTGGGGCCGGGCTCTAACAGACACTTAAAACACACACACGCAATCCCTCACTAGCTCTCGGAGCATCACAACAGCTAAGACAAATAATGCTAGCATGCCAGAGACCCCAGCCTTCAGTCCAACAATGCAGAATGATTGATTGTGGTGTGTGTGTTTGTAGAGAACAGTATGTGCGTGTCGGTGTGTGCCGGGCCACTTCAAAGCAGTGGTTGTAAAAGTGCCAGTGACATTCTTGGAGCTCATTCACTATTCCAGCCAACCCAGGCATGGACCACACACTGGAACCCACAGGTCTGTGTGTGTGTGTGTCCATGGGTGGCTGGATATAGTATGTCACCATGAAAACCAGACATAAACATCTTGCATCGCTGGGATTCTGAAAACGAGGGCCGAGCACACCCCGATTCACATCGACAGGGCTGTAGTGGAGCGGGTCGAGAGCTTCAAGTTCCTCAGTGTCCACATCACTATGGTCCAAACACACTAACACAGTTGTGAAGAAGGCACGACAATGCCTCTTCCTCCTCAGGAGGCTGAAAAGGTTTGGCATGGGCCCTCAGATCCTCAAAATGTTATACAGCTGCACCATCGAGAGCATCTTGACTGGCTGCATCACCGCTTGGTATGGCAACTGCTTGGCATCCGACCGCAAGGTGCTGCAGAGTACCTACGGCCCAGTACATCACCGGGGCCATCCAGGACCTCTATACCAGGTAGTGTCAAAAATGTTTCAAAGACTCCTGCCACCCAAGCTACAGACTGTTCTCTCTGCGCACGGCAAGTGGTACCAATGCACCAAGTCTGGAACCAACAGGACCCTGAACAGCTTCTAACCCCAAGCCATAAGACTTCTAAACAAGATTGCCAAATAGCTAATCAAATGGCTACCTGCATTGACCCTTTTTTGCACTAACTCTCTTGCACCATCTCAATGCACACACACTGGACTCTACCCACACATACACACACGCTGCTGCTAGTCACTTTACCCCTACCTCTATGTACAGTACATACACACATTACCTCGTACCCCTGCACTCAGTACTGGTACTCCCTGTATATAGCCATGTTAGTTTCTATTCCCTGTATATAGCCATGTTAGTTTCTACTCCCTGTATATAGCCATGTTAGTTTTACTTGTTATTTTTATTCGTTATTCACTGTGTCTCTATTTCTATTTTTTATATCTTATCTTTAACTCTGCATTGTTGGAAAAGGACCCATAAGTTAGCATTTCACTGTTGGTCTACACCTGTCTACGAAGCATGTGAGGAATGAAATTTGATTCTCAAGCCAAGGGAGGTAAGAATATGAAGGCTAATTACTAGCCTGGTCCTAGATCTGTTTGTGCTGTCTTGCCAACTCCTATGGTCATTTGAAAAGAAAACAACTAGGAGTTGGCTATACAGCACAAACAAATCTGGGACCAGGCTATGATAGGCTAAATGCTCGATTGTCTGGTGGCTTTCCTAGTATTTGATTTCACTTTAACTGTTCATCTAAACCCTCCATCCTCCCCATCTCACTGTCTGTCTCGCATGTCTGTGTCTAAACCACTTCTGCTTATTCTTTAGCGGTAAAGCCCCAGATTGCTACCGCGTCTGTCTGCGGTCTCTGGTTTCCATGGAAACGGTCAGAGCCATTGAGACAGACCACTTCTGCTGATGGGAATTGGAACCCTGAGGCAAGGCAGGTGTTACCGGAATCATCTCCCCCCTTTAGTTTTTTTTTCAATTACCAAAAGTGCTGTGCTGTGGAATGGATAGATGGAGCAGCCCTCTGAATGAGGAAGCTTTGTGATCGTAGCGAATGACATGTTGCGTCTGTTCCAATATCCACATTCGGAATAATGTCCCTGCAGTGGTATGCTAGTGTGGATATTGGATGATAGCCAACGTTATAGTACTGTATGTAGGTTACATTGCTACATACTCGGGCAGAGATGAGTAGAGGTGGAATGTCCGTGTGTGAGACTCTGAAGGGCTCTCAAGTGGAGGTGTGCTAGTAGGTGTGTTAGTGTAGAGAGAAAGATGTGTGTTTATGGTGGTATGGAGGTAGGTGTGTACTAACCTCTCTGAGACAGGTGTATATGGGACAGACCAGGACTCTGAAGGGTTCTCCGGCGCTGGACCTCATTGTTCCAAACATCTCACACAGGAAGGTGATGAACCCCAACCAGCGCTCCACGTCAGACGCCTGCAGCTCCTCCCGACGAGAGAAGTCCTTCTGTAGAGGACAGAGAGGAGAGATATAATGTTAGGGGGTAGAGGGATACTGTACAAACAACATAACAGCAGAGAAAAGTCCTTCAGTAGGGGACAGAGAGAGGGGTGAATACAATGTTAAAACAATGTAGTCAGGTTCACATCAGAAAATTCATTCTGTAGGAGACAGACAGAGAGGTGAATTCAATGTTAACCCGGTTAAGCATAATTTTGTTATATTTAAATTGTTTTATCAAGGTAATTCACTTATAAAATCAGCCTCTTAAGCAAATTCGCTTCACAACAGTTTGGCTGATAGCCACACTTCCCAGCTTGAATTGAGTGCGCCTTACAAGACTGAGGTATCAGGTTGCATATCCACAGTCATTGGAAGCTGGGAAGTCCAGCCTTAACTTTCATTCGCTGGTCAGACTGTCAATTTGTGGCGGAAGGACACGTCGCACCTTCATATGCCGGATAGCGTTAGAAAACTAAGAACCTTCAGCATCGATAGCAACTACTCCCATCACTGTACGACAAACCCAAATTGTTTTTATATCAAATTTAATTCAAAAAACTTGAACATTACCTGTAGATGTGAAACAAAACCACTGTGTTCATCACAGACGGACAACTTTTATAGGAGATGAAATCTGAGATCGTATTGAATCAGTAGTCTCTCAGTGTTTTGTTACTTGTTATGTTTTGTGTTTTTTGTGGACCCCAGTAAGAGTAGCTGATGGTTCTGCAAAACCTAAATGGAGATCCAAATAAACTAAAAACTTTCAGGAGGGGAGGGACGCAAGAATGACAAAGATGTGACACAAAAATGTGGCTACTTTTCCCTACCCACTAGTTATATGATGAATTGGTACAGTAATAATGCTCATGAATGGGAACTTAATCATATATTGATATTTCATAATTGTTTATCGTATTTGTACTACAGTACGTACTTGAGCTTGGGTCATCAAAAGAGTTCATCACAGCAATATTTTTACCAGAAAGGTGAGATTTCTATCTTTCTGGCACTATGAAGCATTACTATCTTGTCATGAAAAATGATCAAATTCGGGCATAGCCATACAGCCATCTGGAAGGTCAGCCATTAGCATTGAACAGGTTGACACAATGTTAAGTCAGGTTCACCTCAAAGTCCATATGTAGGGGACAGAAAGCACAGAGACACTGCAAAACCAAACCAGGGCACAGGGTATGCCTCAAGATATCCTTCTGTAGCAGCTAGAGAGAGAAGAGATACTGTGACTCACATAAGTCCTTCTAGGGTAGAGAAGAGATATATACTAAAACTCAGTATAAACTCAGAAGATCACCAGGGGTTGAGACAGAAATGTGATGCAGATCCAATGTGATCGGAGACAATTTCAGAACGTCCCTTATCACCACCACAGCACTGTGCTTCACTTACTGTGCACACACACACAAACACACTATTTTTGTGCAACAAGGGGATGGGGGAGGGAAATAATAGTCTATGACTCATCAATAGAAAGGCACAGACAGCAAACAGTCTCCTATCTTAATTTACACTCATGGAAATTGGCCTATATAGATAGGGCCAAATGTAATTGTTTCTAACAGAAGAACTATAAAAAGCACATGCATGACCATGGTAGCAATTGAAAGAGAGCACTTTGGAGATTATGGGGAAGTTTTCAAAGCAAAGGTGAGGACACAACAGTTCACCTGACACAAGACTGAATGCAAACAGACTGTTGATTGTATGTGCATTTTACATTTACTGTACTTTTCACAGCATTTGTTGATAACGAAATCTGAAAATACTCTGGATAGATTCAGTAAGATAATAAGAATATTCATTGACATTTTGAAGTAGGTGCAAGATAAGAAAAAACAATTACAAGGGTTTGAGTGAGAGGTCTAACTGGTGTCTCCAAGTGGCCACACACCTCTCCAAAGTGTGCACAGTTTCTAAGTAATTTCAATGCACTTTTATGACTCAAGGAAAGAGCATTCAATTATAAGGTGCTTTTAGCTATCCTAGCTTTGCCATTGAGGAACTGAAGCAAGCACACTTGTAGTTTTTTGTTTGGAACACAGCCCAGCCACCATCACACAATTACTGTTGCTTACACAATCCAAAAACGTTCCATTATAAATCGCAATCTGGGTCAGGTGGGCATCATTTGAACAGTAGCAGTGCGTGGGTAAAATCACTGGGGAAGCCAAGCCCTTGACACTTTTTTTTGGTGCGCCAGGACCATTCACAGTTGAGCTCGCTGAGTTTAGCTCAATGCTAATTGGCAAATGTTTTATACTTTTTTTGTCAAGGGAGGCCAGATGCTCGCTGGCTTCCCTTGCCTTCAATGCTACGGGTGGCAACATTGTCATACTCGTTTGGACCAGACAACATCAGATACAGTGCATTCGGAAAGTATTCAGACCCCTTCACTTTTTACACATCTAGTTACATTACAGCCTTAATCTAAAATGAATTAAATAGTTTTCCCCCCTCATCAATCTAGACACAATACCCCATAATGACAAATCAAAAACAGGTTTTTAAATGTACACTTTACTCAGTAAACTGAAATATTACATTTACATACTGTATGTATTCAGACCCTTTCCTCAGTACTTTGTTGAAGCACCTTTGGCAGCGATTACAGCCTCGAATCTTCTTGGGTATGAAGCTACGAACTTGGCAAACCTGTATTTGGGGAGTTTCTCCCATTCTTCTCTGCAGATCCTCTCAAGCTCTGTCAGGTTGGATGGGGAGCGTCGCTGCACAGCTATTTTCAGGTCTCTCCAGAGATATTCGATCGGGTTCAAGTCCGGGCTCTGGCTGGGCCACTCAAGGACATTCAGACTTGTCCCGAAGCCACTCCTGCGTTGTCTTGGCTGTGTGCTTAGGGTCGTTGTCCTGTGGAAGGTGAAACTTCACCCCAGTCTGAGGTCCTGAGCGCTCTGGAGCAGGTTTTCATCAAGGATCTCTCTGTACTTTGCTCAGTTCATCTTTCCCTCGATCCTGACTAGTCTCCCAGTCCCTGCTGCTGAAAAACATTCCCACAGCATGATGCTGCCACCACCATGCTTCACCGTAGGGATGGTATTGGCCAGGTGATGAGCAGTGCTTGGTTTCCTCCAGACATGACACTTGGCATTCAGGCCAAAGAGTTCAATCTTGGTTTCATCAGACCAGAGAATCTAGTTTCTCATGGTCTGAGAGCCCTTTAGGTGCCTTTTGGCAAAATCCAAGCGGGCTGTCATGTGCCTTTTACTGAGGAGTGGCTAAGGTCTGGCCACTCTACCATAAAAGGCCTGATTGGTGGAGTGCTGCAGAGTTGGTTGTCCTTCTGGAAGGTTCTCCCATCTCCACAGAGGAACTCTGGAGCTCTGTCAGAGTGACAATCGGGTTTTTGGTCACCTCTCCGATTGCTCAGTTTGGCCGGGCGGCCAGCTCTAGGAAGAGTGTTGGTGGTTCCAAACTTCTTCCATTTAAGAATGATGGAGGCCACTGTGTTCTTGGGGACCTTCAATGCTGCAGAAATGTTTTGGTACCCTTCCCCAGATCTGTGCCTCAACACAATCCTGTCTCGGAGCTCTACAGACAATTCCTTCGACCTCATGGCTTGACCTTATAGAGACAGGTGTGTGCCTTTCCAAATCATGTCCAATCAATTGAATTTACCACAGGTGGACTCCAATCAAGTTGTAGAAACATCACAAGGATGATCAATGGAAACAGGATGCACCCAAGCTCAATTTCGAGTCTCATAGCAAAGTGTCTGAATACTTGTGTAAATAAGGTATTTCTGTTTTTTATATTTACTAAATTTGCACAAATTTCTTATTTCATTATGGGGTATTGTGTGTAGATTGATCAGGAAATGTTTTTATCTAATCATTTTTAGAATAAGGCTGTAACGTAACAAAATGTGGAAAAAGTGAAGGGGTCTGGATACTGTAGATGGCCTACACGTAGAGAGACAGAGGGGAGCTCTTTCGCTCACTCTGATGCTTTCACCTGAGAGATACATTCAGCCTCTTGCGAATTGAAGGAAAATTATGAAACACAAAGAGATTATTTGATGTTGTAAAAAAGTTTTTCGGGTTCAATTGTTTTGGGAAGCCTGGCTTCCCTTGGCATCCATGAATACACACCACTGCATTTGAAAGCTTATTCTATTGCCAACATGGCTAGCTAAGTTATAAATTACGATCTTACAGTGTTAGGCTTTCAAAAGGCACTTTAGACAAACAGATTGCAATTTTGGTGTGCATAGACTGGAGCTGTGAGCGCATTCAAGTATGTGTTCCGCAGTTAATTTTCTTCACAATACGACAAACATAGGCTCATTCTGTTCAAGACAACCCAGGGTATACAGATTTTCATATCGTCATACCGTCCTTTTCTCATCCTGGGATTTACGGTATTACCGGCATAGCACACAAGGGGGCGCTAAAAACGCAAGAAAAGCTCATTGGGCCTCTATTACCAGAATGCTAACAAAATTTGCCCAAATTAATATCGAAATCACAGACACTGTTAGCTAAATGCTAACGAGCGAAAAACAAACAAATAAACGAATTGCAAAGACAGGCAAAGACAGGCAAATCCAGCTCATAAAGTTATACAAGCATAGCTAGTAGCTACCGAATGTTATTTTCGGTGAGTGTGGATATTTACAAGCGAAAGTGAACGAGAGAAATTGTGCAAATGATTTTCTGAAGGAAGAGCAGAGGGGAGAAGAACGGAGGAGAAAAAAACTGTACAGATAACCCACTCAGAAAGCCATTATAAGATAACTTATGGCAAACACTTAGTAGTGAATTGCATACAAGTGTAACTTCATCACCTTGTGTGCCACACAACAGAGACTCGCCGAAAGATATAGAACGCTATGGACTCACCAGCTTCCACTTTCTGCCGTTGTGCTGTTTACAAACAAACGCGTGACTAACAAAAACATATGGAAATGTCTGCTCTACCCAAAATTACAACCAAATAATTGCAGCATTACCGCAAAAATGGAAGAGGAAAGTGGAAAAAGTAAGGAACTTGTCTGTCGGCCCTGCATTAAAGATCATATAATTGGTTAAAGAAAACTGTGATAAATTAAAAAGTTTACCAGTTTCATTTAAGGACCAAAAGATTGACAGCCGTCCCATATAGATTGAAAAATAGTTGGGAAGAGATTTTTGACGTACCGATTCCATGGCATAGTGTTTATGAACTGATACGCAAAACGATGCCGGATTCAATTAAAATTATTATATAAAATTCTTGCTACCAATAGAATGTTATTTTTATGGGGGATACAATCTTCCCAGCTCTGCATATTTGGCTGTGAAGAGATAGATCATTTGTTTTGGTACTGTCCATTTGTAGCTTGTTTCTGGACACAGGTCCAGGAATGGCTGAAGGATTGCAATATTTGCATGGAGCTGACCCTGCAGATAGCACTACTGGGTGATCTGAAAAGTCATAGTCAATCGATCAATAATATAATAATACTTTTAGCCAAAATGTTTATTTTCAATTCATAAACTGTAGAAACAATGAGAATAAAACGTTTCAGAAAAAAAATCACAGTACAGTTGAAAAATATATGGCAAATAGAAATCCAATATGGATGGTGTTAAGAGATAGATGGGAGGTGTTGAATGGAGCTGAAGGATGGGACTAATAACAACAACTAATAACAACAAGATAACTAGTGTAAGAAATGCTGTGTCCATAATAAGTATATAGGTTATATATTGTGAGCTTTTGTGAAAGAGCACAGTTAGAAAGATATGGCATATAGAAGCATACCAGATGGACATTATGAAAATGATCGGAGGAAGTTCAGGAGTAAAAACAAACAAAATAGAATTATTGACTGTGTCCATAAAATGTATATAGTATGTATAAGCATGAAGTAGAGGCCTAAGCATTGTTGTTCACTAGTTTACTCCAATTAGGGAAGGGATGGTGGGGTTGGAAAGTAATAAAGGGAAATATATATATTTTTAAAGGATATGTAAATATATATACAGTGGGGAGAACAAGTATTTGATACACTGCCGATTTTGCAGGTTTTCCTACTTACAAAGCATGTAGAGGTCTGTAATATTTATCATAGGTACACTTCAACTGTGAGAGACGGAATCTAAAACAAAAATCCAGAAAATCACATTGTATGATTTTTAAGTAATTAATTTGCATTTTATTGCATGACATAAGTATTTGATCACCTACCAACCAGTAAGAATTCCGGCTCTCACAGACCTGTTAGTTTTTCTTTAAGAAGCCCTCCTGTTCTCCACTCATTACCTGTATTAACTGCACCTGTTTGAACTCGTTACCTGTATAAAAGACACCTGTCCACACACTCAATCAAACAGACTCCAACCTCTCCATAATGGCCAAGACCAGAGAGCTGTGTAAGGACATCAGGGATACAATTATAGACATGCACAAGGCTGGGATGGGCTACAGGACAATAGGCAAGCAGCTTGGTGAGAAAGCAACAACTGTTGGCGCAATTATTAGAAAATGGAAGAAGTTCAAGATGACGTTCAATCACCCTCGGTCTGGGGCTCCATGCAAGATCTCACCTTGTGGGGCATCAATGATCATGAGGAAAGTGAGGGATCAGCCCAGAACTACACGGCAGGACCTGGTCAATGACCTGAAGAGAGCTGGGACCACAGTCTCAAAGAAAACCATTAGTAACACACTACGCCGTCATGGATTAAAATCCTGCAGCGCACGCAAGGTCCCCCTGCTCAAGCCAGTGCATGTCCATGCCCATCTGAAGTTTGCCAATGACCATCTGGATGATCCAGAGGAGGAATGGAAGAAGGTCATGTGGTCTGATGAGACAAAAATAGAGCTTTTTGGTCTAAACTCCACTCGCCGTGTTTGGAGGAAGAAGAAGGATGAGTACAACCCCAACAACACCATCCCAACCGTGAAGCATGGAGGTGGAAACATCATTCTTTGGGGCTGCTTTTCTGCAAAGGGGACAGGACGACTGCACCGTATTGAGGGGAGGATGGATGGGGCCATGTATCGCGAGATCTTGGCCAACAACCTCCTTCCCTCAGTAAGAGCATTGAAGATGGGTCGTGGCTGGGTCTTCCAGCATGACAACGACCCGAAACACACAGCCAGGAGTGGCTCCGTAAAAAGCATCTCAAGGTCCTGGAGTAGCCTAGCCAGTCTCCAGACCTGAACCCAATAGAAAATCTTTGGAGGGAGCTGAAAGTCCGTATTGCCCGTCTCTCACAGTTGAAGTGTACCTATGATAAAAATTACAGACCTCTACATGCTTTGTAAGTAGGAAAACCTGCAAAATCGGCAGTGTATCAAATACTTGTTCTCCCCACTGTATATATATATATGTATGTATATGTATGTATGTGTATATATAGTGAACTTTTGGGAAAGAGCACAGTTAGAAAGATATGGCATATAGAAGCATACCAGATGGACATCATGAAAATGATCGGAGGAAGTTCAGGAGTAAAAACAAACCAAATATAATTATTGACTGTGTCCATAAAATGTATATAGTATGTATAAGCATGAAGTATATACACACACATACATATGCATGAAAAAAAGAAAAAAAAAGATATGGGGGATTGGAAGTGATGCAGACAATTACATTGATGGAAGTTACAATCTATCTGCAATATTAAAGCTGATCTACCCCCTAAAAAAATTAAATAAATATATATATATATATATATATATATATATATATATATATATATATATATATATATAATAATAATAATAACAAACGCGTGACTGGCTCAACTGTTCTGGGGAAGTACGGTAAGCTTCATAATGTGACAGGTGAAATGAAGAACGCAATCTTCTTTATCTCCTAACGTATTGCACAAGTCGACTGTAGATATTAACTTAAACAGTAGATACAAATATTCAAATGTATTGCAAAACTTCAAATAAATAGTTTCGACTGTATTGAAAAACCCTCCTGTGGCTTTCTCCAAATACCCTGGTATACGGTACACTGCCTAATGTCATCCTTGTAACTGTGGATCAAACATAATGATCATAAATGTTGATACTGTAAATGACATGAGTTTGCAAATATGGAAATGTGAAGTGCACATTTGGACTCATGGGTGTGTGGTTTGCTTGTATGACATCAAAGCAGTATTTATTATAATCCTAAACATCTCATCTTTCAGAACACATCGACTCCTCTCGATTTACAGCATTTCCCTCACTCAGACAACAACAAATGTGCAAAAGTAGTCCATTTAGCGGGAGCGATGGGGGCATCATCTTGTCACGCGCAGTGCTCAAGTTTATTACTGCTGTCAATCAAAACCCATACAGCGCTGTGAAGCGGAAAACCTGAGCTCTGACGTCATGTATAGCATGCTAATGTACAGCCACTGCATTCCAATTTAGGCGCTTATCAATGACAAATTGATATACGGGACGATGGGCTGTGAGTGGAAAGGGTTAACAAATGCCTTCTCTGGTAGTCTGGAGAAGCCAGTCTACACAACTTCCATACAGACAGAGAATAATGTCTGGTTGGGTTATAAGGTGTTGTCAAGGATTCCCCCTATAACGGAAGAGTGGAACACAAAACAAACTCGGCTGATCCAAGCAATATTCAATTTTTCAATGTGTAAGAGGAGATAATGGGTTATGACTGTGAGCTCCTACACACAAACAGTAGTATGGCACAGTAACAGTACGGTGGAGAAGAAGTCAAATGTAGGAGGGCATAAGATACTTGAAAAAAGCATTATTCAAAACCACTAAAGTGGGAAAGGTTTATAAATCCATTTAAATGTTTATTTCGAAGTGGGCAAAACCTTCACATAAAAATACTAACCGCTGTGGGTGTTGGATGTTAACTTAATGCATGTTAACTTGGCTAATGCCTATACTTTACATCAACTTGATAATGAGAAAGTTGAGCATGAAAACATGCTGGGAAAGTTGCTGGGAACATTTAACTCAATTTAATGTAAGAGAATGAAACAATCTGTGTGAGCGCCATAAAAATAACTAAGGTTAATGAAGGTTAATGCTCATTATGCACGTATAGAGATGATATAAGACGGTAGAAATAAAAGTAGATGACAGAGAAACTGAGTGGGTGAGTTGGTGAAGTCTCAGTGTAGCTCTGTATGGTCTTTGTACGGCAGACACACACGCACAGACAGTTATGGTGAATGCATGCACGCACGCACACACACACACACACACACACACTCGGTGGTCGGCGAGCCATGCCAGACAGGACAGGAAGTTCTCTGTGACTGTGCCATAGGGGAGGAAGGGGGATGGGTTACAATGTGACAGCAGGGTGAGAAGGGGGACGGGTTACAATGTGACACCAGGGTGAGAAACAAGGCTAGCAATCACTTTCTAAAAGACAGCTACAGCACTTAGCACCTAGCAGACAACCCAAACAATAGCCAGCTACACACACACACACAGACTGACCACTGTCAGATCAGAAAGGGGGAGAGAGGGGAAAGAGGGTAGAGAAGGGAATGTTCAGATGAGAGTTTAACAGGAATATCAACTCACTACCAAAGAAACTGTTGATAGAGTTAATAATTTACGATTTTTTTCAAACAATGTGTACAGTAATGGTATTTTTGAATTATGTAAATAAATGGGAGACTAATAAAGCAAGTTGCATTTATCATCATTAATTTCTCTTTAACGAACATACTGTTTTTGTTCGAAAGTCCTTTATTCTTTACTAATGAGAAATAGTAATAGAAATGTTGAATTAATGCATTATGCTAAACACCATGTGATAATTATCAAAATGTTCAAAAGTGTTAATTGAGCCAGGATGATGCTTTATTAACAGGACGATTTAATTAAAGAAAGGTAACAGAAACCAGGGACTAGCCAGCCAGCTGTATAATAATTCTGTGGAATAATCAACTAATTATCCCCAGGTTGAAAGAGTGGAGATTTGGCATCATATCCATCAGTAACAATCTTTTTAATAGGCCACATTCTGCTGTTTATAACATTAGATACTGCATCCCAGATGGCAGCCTATTCCCTATTTAGTGCACTACTTTTGACCAGGACCCATAAGTACTGCACTACGTAGGGAATAGGGTTCCATTTGGGACACACACAGAGTTTAACGCTAAATGTCAAAGAGGTGGAGGGGTCTCTGTCTACCGCTGGGGCTGGCTAGGCATCTGTCTCCCCAGCATCTGAGGAGAGGGAGGTTAAAAATGAAGGAGGCAGACAAACAGAGAAGACGAAGAGGAGGAGGGGAGAGGGAGTGCTGTGACGCAGCAGGTGGGTTAACATTTCGCCTGGCACGTCAGCCACAGAGAGCTGGCGGGGGGAGGGAGAAAAGTAGAGAGAGAGAGAGCAGAGGGGAGAGCGAGAGAGAGAGTTAGCGCCCAGACTGTGTCTGCAATGGAGCGTCTGTCTGGCTCCCAAAGGAGGGAGGGAAGTCGTGACACCCAGGGAGGCACTGAGCCGTAGTGTGGGCAGGGCAGACGTGGGTGGGGAGAAACATTATCTGGGGTGAGGCTAGGCAGACGTCCCCCCCCCACAGGCTATGGCCTCCCAGGCTGTTCATTAGCTCTGTGCCCACTGACATTTTCCCCACGTCACACACAGCCTACAGGGCCAATGACACCAATTAGGACCATCCACACCCACTGAGATAGACACGACTCACACACACTCACTGTCTGACAGACACCCCACACACACACACGCTGAAAGACAGACGGACGGGTGGACAGAAAAACATGTACGTACCCACACACACAACCCCTATGACGTCACTCTCCACCAACCTCCCCTCATCCCGCCCTCCTAACCCCCCCTCCCTCCCTCCATCTCACCTGTAACGTATTGAGTAGCAATGATCTAAACTTGGTCCCCTCCACCATGAACAGGGCCATCTTGTCACAGAGTCTGGCAGCAGTAGCGGCGAAGCTCCTGTCGCTGAGGGCCTTGCCATAGATAGTAGAGACGATCTGGGCCAGGCTCTCTTCTGACTGGGCCGAGGTCTGGGCCTCCTCCATGAAGGAGCTGAGCTGGCCGTCCACCCCGGCACTGTTGTTCCTCATGCTGTTCAGGATCTCCAGCAAGCGGTCCATACGGCTCCGCTGGGGGCCCACTGGGGACACGATCGCCTCTTCCTGGAAGACACATGATGAAGGACGGTGGTTAAAGAACGACTTACGTATGTAGTGGGTAACACTTTATTTGGATAGTCCACCTATAGACGCTCAACAAACTATCAACAGACTATCAACGACATGTCATTGTCAACTGCATGTTAAACAAAGAATAGTGTTACCGACTACTGTACTATAGAAAGCATGTGGTCTTTATACTGTACCTCGGTGCCCTTACTGCACTGACTGTATTCAAGCTGACAACATGCTGGCTTTCTTTACCAAATAGATGTTTAACCAAACAGCTTACACAGGGGAGTTGTTCCATGTCATTTCAGCAAGCCGTGACACTTGTTCTGAAATCGTTTTTGTAGTTAGAAACAGATAAGATTAGCTTTCTTGCAACATTTTGTTAATTTATAGGATTCACATATTCAATACATATAGCACTCAACATCCGATTTGGACCAAACTTCTTCCTACCATTTAGTAAGACATAAAATCCAATAAAATGTTCAAAACCCACCCACGGACCCCCCACACCCCACCCCAACAACCAGTATACAGTATCAGTTCTCTATGTCTGACAAGTAGTATGGAGCTGCAGCTCGGAGTATTGGTTCTCCATCCTGCAGCGCCTTCAGAAAGTATTCACACACCCCATGACTTTTTCTACATTTTGTTGTGTTACAGCCTGGATTTTGGTAAATGGGTCAAAATAAAAAAAAGCAGACACTGAATAGCCCTTTGAGCGTGGTGAAGTTATGAATTACACGTTATCAATACACCCAGTCACTACAAAGATACAGACGTCCTTCCTTGCTCAGCCTGTACAGAATAAAAATATTCCAAAACATGCATCATGTTTGCAATAAGGAACTAAAGCAAAACTGCTAAGAATTTGGCTAAGAAATTAACTTTATGTCCTGAATACAAAGTGTTATGTTTGGGGCAAATTCAACACAACACATCACTGAGTACCACTCTTCATATTTTCAAGCATAGTGGTGGCTGCATCATGTTATCAGCAAGTACTAGGTCGTTTTTTAGGATAAAAATAATTGGAATAGAGGTAAGCACAGGCAAACTCCTAGAGGAAAACCTGGTTCAGTCTGCTTTCCACCAGAGACAAATTCACCTTTCAGCAGGACAATAACCTAAAACCAAAGGCCAAATATACACTGGAGTTGCTTAAAAGACGACATTGAATGTTCCTGAGTGGCCTAGTCACAGTTTTGACTTAAATAGCTTGAAAATCTATGGCAAGACTTGGAAATTGCTTTCTAACAATGATCAACCACCAACTTGACGGTGCTTGAAGAATTTTGTGCAAATATTGTCCAGATGTGCAAAGCTTTTAGAGACTTACCCAGAAATATTCACAGCTGTAATCACTGACAAAGATGATTCTAACATGTATTGACTCAGGGGTATGAATACTTATGTAAATGAGATATTTATGTATTTCAATAAATGTGCAAAAATGTCTAAAAACATGTTTTTACTTTGCCATTATGGGGTATTGTGTGTAGATGGGTGAGAGAAAAAAATATATTTAATCCATTTTGAATTCAGGCTGTAACAACAAAATGTGGAATAAGTCAAGGGGTATGAATACTTTGTGAAGGCACTGTATGTAATGTATGTTTTTTTCCCCCTGTTCAGAGAAATGTGCAATTTAAGTCACTTGCATAATTCACCATAAATTAGTGTGAAAGTACCAGGTTTTGTCCAATAGATGCTGCTGTTCCAGCTACTGCCACACCCTTTTATAATACAATATGCCATTTAGCATACATTTTTACGTATGGGTGGTCCCGGGGATCGAACCCACTACCCTGGCGTTACAAGCGCCATGCTCTACCAATTGAGCTACAGAGGACCACATAATAGTGAAGACATCAAAACTATGAAATAGAGACAGAAAGTGGGCTTTCTTGGTTAGCATCACTGTCCCTGCAAACGTCCACCACTCCAACAAAGCTCCCTGTATCTGTACAGTCTGTTCTTCCCTGTCCGCCCCATGAGAAAAGCATGAAAGGCATTCCTCTTTTCATTTAAATGCAAATGTGTCGGTCTTCCTTACACTAATCATGTAGTAACCAAAAAAAGTGCCAAACAAAATCAAAATATATTCTATACTTGAGACTCTTCAAACAGCCACCCCCTGCCCCGATGACAGCCCTGCACCCTCCCGGCATTCTCTCAACCAGCTTCACCTGGAATGCTTTCCCAACAGTCTTGAAGGAGTTCCCACATATGCTGAACACTTGTTGGCTGCGTTTCCTTCACTATGCGGTCCGACTAATCCCAAACCATCAATTTAGCTGGTCTCTTCTGGTTATTAAATGGATCACATTTTCTTTGCAACTTCGGTTGAAAACCAATAGCTTTTGCTCATGATTAACATAAATCAAGTCAAGCCAATCCTCCATGAAAGCAATTCAGTTTGTAGTTCTCTTAGCAACCTAATGCTTCAATCTAACGCTGATTAACATTCCTCTCTAACTCATAGACCAAAAGGCTCCTTAACCGCTTCTACTCCCAAGTCATAAGACTGTTGAACAATTAATCAAATGCCCCCCCCTTTGTTTTTACACTGCTGCTACTCACACTTTATTATTTTACATTTTAGTCATTTAGCAGACGTTCTTATCCAGTAGCGACTTACAGTTAGTGAGTGCATAAATTTTTTCATACTGGTCCCCCGTGGGAATCGAATCCACAACCCTGGCGTTGCAAGCGCCATGCTCTACCAACTGAGCTACACGGGACTACGTGCAGTATCTATGCATAGTCACTTTACCCCTACCTACATGTACAAATTACCTCGACTAACCTGTACCCCCTGTATATAGCCTCGTTATTGTTATTTTATTGTGTTACTTTTTATACTTTTTTAAACTTTAGTTTATTTGGTAAATATTTTCTATTTCTTGAACTGCATTGTTGGTTAAGGGCTCATAAGTAAGCATTTCACGGTAAGGTCTAAACCTGTTGTATTTGGCGCATGTGACAAATTAAATTTGATTCGATTTGAATAGTCCAACAAATGGCAGCTCTCTGAGAGGGCTATCTGTATGGTGCAATTCTCATATGAAGACCTTTCCTACAAGCCCAAAACTTTGATGTAGAGTAGAAATAAATTAATACAATTATAAATCATTGCATGGCAGTCATATGTTTTTCAAATAAAATGATTACAAAAAAGCTCTATACTGTATGTAGTGTGACTATTGACATTTACCAATCAATCAATCAAATGTATTTATAAAGCCAATTTTTGCATCAGCAGATGTCACAAAGTGCTATACAGAAACCCAAACTAAAACCACAAACAGCAAGCAATGCAGATGTAGAAGGCAAGGAAAACCTAGAAAGGCAGAAACCTAGGAAGAACCAGGCTCTGAGGGGTGGCCAGTGCCCATCTGGCTGTGCCGGGTGGAGATTATAACAGTACATGGCCATTAAGGCCAGATTTTTCTCCAAGATGTTCAAACGTTCATAGATGACCAGCAGGGTCAAATAATAATCACAGTGGTTGTAGAGGTTGCAACAGGTCAGTACATCAGGAGTAAATGTCACTTGGCTCTTATAGCCGGGCATTTAGAGGTTGAAATAGCAGGTGCAGTAGAGAGAGAGAGTTGAAAACAGCAGGTGAACATGTCAGGGTTCCATAGCCGCAGGCAGAAGAGTGGGAACTGGAGCAGCAACACGACCAGGTGGACTGGGGACAGCAAGGAGTCATCAGGCCAGGTAGTCCTGAGGCATGCTCAGGACTACCCAACACCATTGCAAAACACTATACAGTGTGCGTTTGGGACTTTTACCATTGAAACGACTAGAACTGTTGTAGCCTAATGGTTTGCTTGTTCACCAGGAATGGTCTCTCTAAGAGATGGGCAACTTTGATGGGGGTGGGGGCCACAAAATATCTGAACTCATCATGAGGGGCCGCAGTGGCTCGGGGGTCTGCGTACCCACATCCATACCCACACATGCAGTCAACTGATTTGTGCAAACAATCCATTTGTGCAGTTAAACTACTTCACTAAATGCATTATACCAGTAGCCAGTGCAGGCCCTAGCCTTTTGGGGGCCCCTGTCTTGACGCCAGAGAGAACATTTTTTGTTTTAAAGTATATTTCATGCAATTCTACCCATTTTACCATGGAGTGGAGATTCATTTTTGCAGTTTTAAAGCTAATTTCCCGAAATTCTACAGATTTTGCCATGACTAATGCCATGTTAATATGATATCTGAGTGAGAGTGATCTGGAGGTCAGGGCCCCTGTACGTGCCCTGCGTGCCCGGTCGATATTCGGTCAAGATTACTACAAGTTTAGATAGCTGGCTAGACTAACTTGCCAATCAAAAAATTGTTAGCTGACATGGCTAATTGAGTGAAAAACTGCTGATGCACAACCACATTTCTAAATTGCACCTTGTGTATTCTACTATTCTAACTCTCAACAGTTGAGACCCCGACAGAGTTCCTAAACAATTCTTATTTTTTGGGGGATGGGGCCACGTTTTTAGAAATTGATCCGCGGGCCTACAAAAGGGGGGCTGAGGGCCGCATGCGGCAGTTATCCATCCCTGGTCTAACTAATCAAGACCTTCTTTGAAGGGAATAAACCACAGAGGGGCCGTTTCCTGGACACAGATTAAGCCTAAGAGAATGACAAACTGAATTGCTTTCATGGAGGACTGACTTGAATTGTGAGGATGACCACACAATTTATATTATCATGATATAAAGCTATTGGTTTTCTACCCAAAGTTGCAAAGAAAATGTTGTGATCCACATAATAAACACAAGAGACCAGCAAAATTGATAAAAGGGTGTGGCAATAGCAGGAACAGCGGCTTCTAGTGGGAAAAACCTGGTACTTTTACACTAATTTATGGTAAATAATGCAAGCAACTTCAATGGTTAATTTCTCAGAAAAACAAAACAAAAAAAACACCACCAGATTCCCAGGGAACACATTACAAAGGATGAAGAACCAATACTCTAAGCCGCAGCTCCATACTACGTCAGACAGAGAACAGATACTGTATACTGGTTGTCGGGGTGCGTGCTCAGTCCCCTCCTGTACTCCCTGTTCACTCATAACTGCATGGCCAGGCACGACTCCAACACCATCATTAAGTTTGCCGATGACACGACAGTGGTAGGCCTGATCACCAACAACGACGAGACAGCCTATAGGGAGGAGGTCAGAGACCTGGCCGTGTGGTGCCAGGACAACAATCTCCCCCTCAACCTGATCAAGACAAAGGAGATGATTGTGGACTACAGGGAAAAAGAAGAGGACCGATCACGCCCCCATTCTCATCGACGGGGCTGTAGTGGAGCAGGTTGAGAGCTTCAAGTTCCTTGGTGTCCACATCACCAACAAACTAACAAACTGTTTATTATCTATGCATAGTCACTTTAATAACTCTACCTACATGAACATATTACCTCAATTACCTCGACTAACCGGTGCCCCCGCACATTGATTCAGCACTGGTACCCCCTGTATATAGCCTTGCTATTGTTATTTTTACTGCTGCTCTTTAATTATTTGTTACTTTTATTTATTTTTGTGATTTGTTTTGGTATTCTTTCTTAAAACTGCATTGTTGGTTAAGGGCTTGTAAGTAAGCATTTCACTGTAATAATAATAATAATAATAATATGCCATTTAGCAGACGCTTTTATCCAAAGCGACTTACAGTCATGCGTGCATACATTTTTTGTGTGTATGGGTGGTCCCGGGGATCGAACCCACTACCTTGGCGTTACAAGCGCCGTGCTCTACACCTGTTGTATTCAGCACATGTGACAAATAAAATGTGATTTGATTGGCATGGGTGGTCCGTTGGTGGCTTTTGATCATTTTATTGGATTTCTCATGTCTTACTCATTGTTAGGAAGAATTATGGTCCCAATCGGATGTTCGGTATTATATTTATTGAATATTATTTGAATAATATAAATAAAAATGTAAAATTTGGATGCAATCAATTAGCTTAATTTTTCAGAGATCTAATTATATTTAAACAAAATACTGTTTCAGGAATGCTAATTTTGTCTGTTTTTAACTACAGAAATGATTTCAGCACAATCTGAGATGGTGGGTGTCGAAATCCTCTTTCCTGTGCTTTTTGAGGTGGAACGACCCAGGGAGTAAAAAAGCTCCTGAGAGAGGAAATATGGTTTGACAATAGATCAATAGGATATGACATAATCAATGTGCTGCCTTAACCCCATATAAAAGTTAGACCACAGGGCGGGTCAGGGTATTCTCACCATACAACACAGCACATAGAGCTAGCCTTATTCACTAGGCACAGAACGGAAGAAAGTGGACCGAAACAGGTATTACATGGATTTATCCAATTAGAAATGCAGTTTTAGTTTTCCATTTCAAACGGTATGCCTTAATGAATACAACCCTGGACTCAAACGCAGACAGAGACCTGGCTGAGGATAATATCCCATGTTTCCTCCCATTTAGCAAAATTCCTCTCTGTGTCTGCGTCCCAAATGGCACAATATTCCCCTATATAGTGCACTACTTTTGACTAGACCCCTATGGGCCGTGGTCAAAAGTAGTGCCCTATATAGGGAATAGGGTGCCATCAGACACAGCCTGTGTTTTCCCTCCAGATCGGCGTGTTTGAAGCTGTCAGTTAATCCCAGTCTTGTTGTCGGAGGCTGTAAGGGATACTTGCAAACTAAACAAACACACAGCGTTAGAAATGAGTTAGGGTACGTCCCAAATGGCACCCTATTCCCTATATAGTTCACTACTTTTGAACAGGGTCCATAGGGGCTCTGGTCAAAAGTAGTGCACTATATAGGGAATAGGGTGCCATTTGGGACACAACCTTAGATGGAGGGAGAAGGAAGTAGTCCTTGGCTGAGGCTGGGCTGGTTGTGGGGTCGTGGGAGCTGAGACCAGCAATACAAAAGCCTAGCACACAGCGGAAAACATCAAAGGCTGTGGCGCCAGCTACTTATCCTCCTCCCAACGAGAGAGAAGTTTACCCACTACAGCAAAATCTACAGACAAGCCACCGCTGTTAACCCAGACGGAACCCTTACTGAGAAACCTGTGTGTGTGTGAATGACTTTGTATGCATCTAAAAAGGTGCATTAGTTACTGTGTGTTTATGTGTGTGTATGCAATGCGCATGTGGTGTAATGTGCATGCGTGTGTGTGTGTGTGTGTGTGTGTGTGTGTGTGTGTGTGGGTGTGTGTAGAAAGGGGAAGGTGTGGCCTTGGCATGTTTAAGCCTGATGGTGATTGACAGACAGATAAGACAGTAAAACAGCTTTAGTTTACCTTGTCTTTTAGCCTCCTCCTCAGCCTCTCCTTGGACGACGGCAGAAGACTGACTTTAGGGCCACCCTGGCCCCCAGGCTGGCTGGGAGGCCCCTCATTGGGGCCCCTGGAGCTCTCTGGCTCCAGCCTGGTGATGGCCTCCGCTGCCTTTACATTCTCAGTCTCTTTGGTTTTTCTCGGTGGTGCCCCCTTGTCTCCGTCTCCCGTTGGGGTTGCCCCCCTATCTCTGTCCCCTGCCGGGCCACCCTGCACCCGCAGTCCCTGTCCTCCTCCCTGCCCCTGCTGGTTGTGGTGCCAGCGGCGGTTCTGGCTGTAGCCATGGTGGGGGGGCCCCTGGTGCTGCCCATCGTGGCCCTGGAACTGCTGCCCATGGCTACCCCCACACTGTCCTCCCTGCTGCTGCTGGTCACGAGGGTGTCTGGCGTTGCCCCCTGGCCCGGGCTGCTGCTGGTCATTCTGCTGTTGATTGACTGGTTGTTGTTGTTGATTAGATGGAGGTTTTTGTTGTGGAGACTGCTGCTGCTGAAGATTCTGAGTCTTCCGGTCTCCTCCTCCTCCCCCCGGTGGTCTCTGCTGCTGCTGTCTCCTGTAACGAGAGGAGCAGGGGGGTAAGGGGTATGTTACCCACGTGGCAAAGCATGACGCGGTGACGCCCAGGCTACTCTGTCTGGCCAGCCTGAACCAAACCAGCAACCTCCGTTACCCTGTCACAGGGCCACGGCCGACTCCATGTCCATCTGTTCAGCCACGACACCGTCACTCACTCTCGGTCTGCCTGTTCTCTCTTGACCATCTGTTGTAACACATCCCACTATGTCTCTACCTTCTAACACACGGTCTGTCTCACCTGGCACAGACAGATCTCCTCTACCAGAGCCTGACTACCTCTTTCAGTCAAATACTAAAACACCAAAGATCTGTCTTCAGCTAAGAGCTATGGCCGCCTGCTACCATAAGGCCTGGGAGTTCTTATAAATAATAGGTGCTTCCCCATATGGTGTGGGTCTCTGCTTCACAAGGACCTGACTGACGCAACAGGATTAAGAACATTTGTGTGGGGAAAATATCCTGTTATCGCCCTTAGCCTCAAACCAACAGGAGCTTACAGGCCGTGTCTGTGGGAGGAGGGGCTATAATAACTAATTTTCTTTCATGTAACAACCCTCGACTAAAATCTGATTACAATGTGATGTTCAATTAAAAAAAGTGACTTTTTGAACATGCCTTCCTTTCAACTATAATGAGCAGGTAGCCTAGCGGTTAAGAGCGTTGGGGCAGTAACCAAAAGGTCACTGGTTCAAATCCCCGAACTGGCAAGTTGGAAAGAAATCTGCTGTTCTGCCCTTGAGCAAGGCAGTTAACCCCCAACAACAACTGCTCCCCTGGCGCCGATGATGTGGACATCGATTAAGGCAGCCCCCCACGTCTCTGATTCAGACACATTTCAGTTGAATGCATTCAGTTGTGCAACTGACTATAATATAATAATATAATAATAATTAATCATTTAGCAGACGCTCTTATCCAGAGCGACTTACAGGAGCAATTAGGGTTAAGTGCCTTGCTCAAGGGCACATCGACAGATTTTTCACCTAGTCGGCTCGGAGATTAGAACCAGCGACCTTTCGGTTACTGGCACAACGCTCTTAACCACTAAGCTACCTGCCGCCCTATTGATGGTATCCCCTTTCCCTTTCCTATCAAACCATCATAAACACAAGAACCTAAAGGAAGCAATTCAAATGAAACTGTCCTCAAACAACATTCTAACCCTTCAACAAAAGCCCCATCACATCACACTATCCAATATATTTCTAGCAGATTTTTCCACTGCTTGTGTTCAAATTCAACACCACACCCACTCTACAGAGGTATGGAAAACATGAAGCAGTCCAACACTCGTAAAATACAATAGCGCCACCATTCATCAATTCTCTCTCTTTAAAGATTGGCCAGCCAGGCAGGCATAGACCCAGGCCACGCAGAGCAGAGATATGTGACCAACAAGCCAGCAATTGAGTCAGTCAGGCTGTATTTTGGGTTTCCAGCGCTGCAGTGATTTGTAGCAAGTTAGCCAGCCAGCCAGCCAAACAGGCCCAGCTACAGCAATGTTATATAGCCAGTCAGTCAGTCAGCCAGCCAGAGAACAGCCAGTCAGTCAGTCAGCAGCCGGTTTCCATGATAAGGCTAGCCAGCCAGCCAGAGCCAGCCAGTCAGTCAGTCAGCCTGTTTCCAGTGCTGCAGTGATATATAGCCAGACAGCTAGCCAGACAGCTAGGCAGGCAGTCAGCCAGCCTGCCAGTCAGTGTTTCCAGTACTGCAGTGCCACTGCCTGCCAAAACCCTGTGACCTACATTACATTCTCTAGAAGAGCTGGCTCCTACACGGCTGGCTCACTGGCTCCACAGCTTTTAATTAGAAGACTATAGGTGCTCAGTCCTCTGCTCTGCTCCTTTCCCATGTTATGTTTCACTGGGCTGTTAATACTGTTACAGGGCTAGCGCGCATGTAGCACCATCACCCTGAGCTATGTTAGCCTAGCATAGAGTAGAGGAGGATTGTGTGTGTGATTGTACTGTGTGTGTGGGGTGGTTATTAAACGGATATGTGACAGTAGATACGAGAGAGGGTCACATGGAACAGGAGAGTCATGGTGCCCTGTGTGCAACCGTAGCTTGCTTCCCTCCCCACCATGTTTATATCAAACTATATAGACACGCTGCCCGTCTAGGACACGCAAGCAACAACAAAACACAACACCACAGTCCAACCGTACAGATGTCTCCACAAATAGATGTCCTATAGTCTAACACACACAATGACAGAGTCACTCACACTGTTTTGAAATACGCCAAAGCAATAACAGACAATAACTGAATTTCCACATCTCATTACAACTCAGATACAGAGCAGTAAATGGAGTCAGAGACTAGTTGTGGATGTGGTGGGTCCTAGTCTAGAAGAGGATCCTAAAGCAATGACTGTCTGTCACACTGATCTGCTGTCAGACGTTCCCTGGGTAGACAAATCTGAGCAATCACGCCTTGCCACCTCAGACAGAAGAGCAGAGACACAAACACACAAATTGCAGCAGACATGCACACACAGACCTCACTTTACCCCTAACTTAATAATGCAGGGATTTTCCTGCCATTGAGATCCTTGGGCGGGCTGCCTAAGCGCTTTTTCGGGTCGCCTAAATCCAAACAGTGTAATTTTTTGTATTATACATTTTCGGGGGCGAAAAAAGTATTTCAGTGATGACTTAAACGACTAAAACCAGATATAAAGTATGTAGAAAAGAGAATGGACCAATATAGTTTTAAATAATAATATATTTGAGAAATCACCAAAATAAATGCTAGACAGTGTTAGGTTTCCATCCAATTGGCGACAGATTTTAATGTAAATATTCTAAAATCCGCATAGAAATATGTGAATTTTCCCACCAGATGTATTTCCATCAAATTGACTTGTTGGGGATAAAAGGCTGTTCGTGACGACATAGTGCACATAAAAATTACTTTTGCAGTTAAATTAAATGGGTTTCCATGGCATTTTCAACTCTACTGATGGTTTTGTCAAAATAATAAAGTGTTATAGGCTATAGCGAATGTGCCCACTCTGGTCTTGGCACGGGCGCTCTAGCCAACAGCTCACAGATACAGTGTGGGTATAGCCTACATTATGAGATTATTATTATTTGTCAAACAGCAGCCAAGCATTGATCATCATGTCACCAGAATAAGACCCTCAATATTTATTGGAAAGGAGCATCAAGCTCATCACTGTGCACTTTCACCACCCTGTAAAGTTAATCCTAATTTATTTCATCTGTAGCCTAATAAACTGCATGCTTTCCCGAGTCGTAGTGGGAGGACCACACAACATATAATCGCATGACTCCAAGTTTACTTCGATATAATGGTTATTATATCTATATTTGCACATTAAGGCATTTACACCGCCATTTCTCGCATAATTATTAATGCATAAAAAGGTTGGATGGAAACCCTCGTTAAAATTCCAAAAACAATTAATTTAGCAGTATAGATTGTTATTATGTTTGTGCAAAAGAACACAGCATTAGCCATGGCAAAATGCATGGAATTGCAGGAACTTAGCTTTAAACTGCAACATTTTCTCTCAGCTGCATGGCAAAATGTGTAGAATTGCAAGAAATTTGCTTTAAAACTGCAAAAATATTCTCAGCTTCATCGAGACAATTGTAGAATTGCAGGAAATTGGCTTAAGGTGGTGAGAGTGGCAGGGGATGCGGGGATGGAGTGGCCAAGACAGGGGCCTTTAAAATGTTCTCTAAAATTCAGCGTCGCCAACAGGGCGACCGCATCCCCTGCCACGCCCCCTGCCACTCTCACCACCTAAGCCCCTTTTGATCCAGAAAAACCCCTCTAACGATCATAATAATTGACTGAATTTACGCAACGTTTTGTCTAGACGCAGCGGTCTAAGGCACTGCATTTCAGTGCTTGAGGCGTCACTACAGACCCCCTGGTTCGATTCCAGGCTGTATCACAACCGGCTGTGATTGGGAGTCTCATAGGGCGGCGCACAATTGGCCCAGCGTCGTCCGGGTTTGGCCGGTGTAGGCCGTCATTGTAAAAAAGAATTTGCTCTTAACTGACTTGCCTAGTTATATAAAGGTTAAATAAAATACAAATTATATTGCTTTACATAGTGAGGGGGAACCTCACATAATTCCCCCTTTTAAATGCAACCACCCCCTCCCTGTTCACAGCCAATAACACTTAACCTCAATAGCCTCTTGCATGCAGCCCTCCCTGCTCATAAAAACATGCCCCCACCACCCGGAACAATATCAACATTTTCCCCGAAGCCTTAGTGCGAGCCTCAAGCATAAACGTAGCCACGGCCAGACCAATGGAGGAGAGGCTGGGAGTCGGCCTGACAAGCTCAAAATAAAGACATTCTGAGTCGAGGGCCCCAGGTTCCGACCGTGGCATTCTATGACTTTATGACTGTTAACCTCGGCCCTATCCCGACCCCCACCCTCCCATCCCTCCCCGACACGGGAACATCTTGGGGGCAGATGCCTAGAAGCCTCAGCCGAGCTCCTGTGTGAGTAGCACTAGTCTAATAAAGCAGCGGCTGCAAAGTGTTTCATGGTAGAATACATTTTACTTTTTAGTCATTTAGCAGACGCTCTTATCCAGAGCGACTTACAGTTAGTGTGTGCATACATTATTTATTTTTTTCATACTCAGGAGAGGAGAGAAACAGCACAGTCTAACACAGAGTTTTATTTTTCAGCGGAACGATAGCCCAACTTGTAAGGACAAAGACGCACCAGAATGGCTTTCCAAGAGGTGTTGAATGTTTGAGTGGTCTAGTCTCAGTCCTCCTGACTTAAATCTGTAGAATTTCAGGGCATAATACTAAGAAGAGGTAAAGTGTTTCAGATTTAAGTTAAATACTCAGGAGCAGAGGAGAGAAACAGAACATAAATCCTTATATGAATATTAGACTAATAAAGACAGAAAGCAGCGAGTTGAGGTGAGAGCAGTGTTGGATTAAAGGACAATAGTGTGCAATGTCCATGCATAATGAGTATGGGACGGTTGAATAGAAGGATTCACAATGTGAAGAAAAGGAAGGCCGCCTGTGTGTCGAAATGTAAAACATTTTAGAAAATGAAATGTTAGATATTCAGAATGGTAGAGAAGAGAACTGCAGGTGCTGCTGCAGTGTTGGTTTCAACTTTCCCACAAAAGCATCTGTCTGAACTCAAGACATTTATGTTTAATAACGCTT